GTGCTGGCCGCCCACCCCCCTCGTGTACCGTCCGACCCGTATAGGCGCTGCTACTCGCTAACAGCACTTGCCCCAACAGTGTGTTCAGGCTACACGGGGGATCTTTGTCTTTGAAGCGAGAGAGAGAGGGGGGTAAGATGAGAAGGCTGTGTGGAGAGGGAGGGAGGGAGGCAAGTCGGCATCGTGCTGTTTTGAGACGAATTTTTCGCCCAGGAAAAATAAACAGAGCGGGGGGCCCTCCTCCTCCGTAGGGGGGGGGGGGGGGGCATCCCAACATCTGCTTGGGGAGTCGCCACCCAAAGACTCGGAGCATTTCTACAAAAGCTTTCAACTATTTATTTTTTATTTTACCCAGGTAAGGAAGGCCCCCACTGAGCTGTGGATCATTCTTTTCTTTTTTTATCAGGAGCGACCCTGGCTACCACAGATGAGAGATCAAGCACGTGGACTCATCGTCACGTGGGTCATTCATAGCAGTAGCCAGATACTCTACAAGCGTGATGTGTTGTGGGTTCTTTTTAAATGTGGAGAGGAAAACAAATCGAAGGAGCCCAAGAGAAAAAAAATCCACGCGATCACAGGCAGAGAGACGCAAACTCCGAATATACAGCAGCAGCAGCAGCAGGCGTCAAGGTCGAACCCACGACCTCCTGTATACCAGGCGAGGTAGTTAACATCTCCAAGCCACCGTGATGATGATGAGAGAGACACGCAAACCCCAAATATATAGCAGCAGGCGTCAGGGTCGGGATCGAACCCACGACCTCCTGCACACCAGGCGAGGTAGTTAACATATCCTAGCCACCGTGATGATGAGAGAGAGACACGCAAACTCCAAATATACAGCAGCAGGCGTCAGGGTCGGGGTCGAACCCACGACCTCCTGCACACCAGGCGAGATAGTTAACATCTCCTAGCCACCGTGATGATGATAAGAGAGAAAGAGAGACGCAAACTCCAAATATACAACAGCAGCAGCAGGCGTCAGGGTCGGGATCGAATCCACGACCTCCTGCACACCAGGCGAGGTAGTTATCATCTCGCTCCTCTGCAAGCGGACACGAAAGCTTGTTCGGAAGGGATCATCATCATCTTCACCGTCATCATCGTTACGCCTACATCATCATTATCTACAGCGTTTGTATTGTTCTGTCTCGTTTGAATTGTTCTGTCTCGTTTGTATTGTTCTGTCTCGTTTGCATTGTTCTGTCTCGTTTGTATTGTTCTGTCTCGGTTGTATTGTTCTGTCTCGGTTGTATTGTTCTGTCTCGGTTGTATTGTTCTGTCTCGGTTGTATTGTTCTGTCTCGGTTGTATTGTTCTGTCTCGTTTGTATTGTTCTGTCTCGTTTGTATTGTTCTGTCTCGTTTGTATTGTTCTATCTCGTTTGTATTGTTCTATCTCGTTTGTATTGTTCTGTCTAAGTTGTATTGTTCTAACTCGTTTGAAGTGTTCTGCCTCGTCTGTACTATCCTGTCTCACTGTATAGTGGTTATCGTACTGGGCAGGTTGCAGACTTTATAGCAACCCGAGTTCGATTCCAGCTCACGGCCAACATTGATCATTTTCAGGTAATTTGGATGTTACATTGTGTGTCTGTGTGCGGGATAACCCCGGAGGAAACCCATGCAGAACAGGAGGAGAGAATACAAACTCTACACATTAAACACACTCGTGGCACGCGAGGGGATGGGTGACCAACCAACACCACGCCCGGCCACCTTTGTCTTCCCACCATCATGAAGACACAAAGGCACACTCGACCACACTCTCAGATAGTTGGTGGCATCACCTGGCTAAATGCCGCGTGCATCGTGTCTTGGGTGAGTGGTGGGTGAGTGGTGGGTGAGTGGTAGGTGAGTGAGTGGTGGGTGAGTGAGTGGTGGGTGAGTGGTAGGTGAGTGAGTGGTGGGTGAGTGAGTGGTGGGTGAGTGAGTGATGGGTAAGTGATGGGTGAGTGAGTGATGGGTGAGTGATGGGTGAGTGGTGAGTGAGTGAGTGAGTGATGGGTGAGTGGTGAGTGAGTGGTGGGTGAGTGGTGGGTGAGTGGAGGGTGAGTGATTGGTGAGTGGTGGGTGAGTGGAGGGTGAGTGAGTGATGGGTGAGTGTTGGGTGCGTGATAGGTGAGTTCATGATCGGCCCGGTGGCCTTACTGTCAGATTACCAACCACACATCCAGACGAAGGTTCCATTGCTGGTACCTGGCCCTCTGTTAACTTCACAAGGGTTGGTGGATCACGCAGAGATGGGTGAAACTAGATTTGAAGCGTTCGTGACTGCAAGGATTCATATTCTTAGGTTTTTTCGGTAAAGTCACGTAGGTAAAAACATCAAAATTAATAAAAAATAAAATAAAAAAAAATCACGACGTTTCGGAGGCAACACAAGTCTCCGTCATCAGGTGGGACCATCACAGCCGGATTAGCTGCATCAAGTGAGATGTAAGGGATTACATCTTGAATCATTGCCTCACTTGATGCAGCTAATCCGGCTGTGACGGTCCCACCTGATGACGGAGACTTGTGTTGCCTCCGAAACGTCGTGATTTTTGTTTTATTTTATTTGTATTAATTTTGATGTTTTTACCTACGTGACTTTACCGAAAAAACCTAAGAATATGGGTGAAACTCTCAACCTCGCTGCGCTGGACTCACAATCGCACACACACGTGAGCCAGCCTGCTCATAGAACATTTGCCCTTCTGCGTCAGCTCCACTCCCTCTCAATATCAACCCACGGGCGCTGTCAGTAGCCACTGTAAAACACCACACCTGGCACGGGCAGCATCAATGAATAAGCCCCCTACAATTAAAGCGGGGAGCTTTCCAAAAGATTACCCACACCCCTCCCCTCTCAACCCCCACCTCTGCGCCCCCCCCCCCGCTCTGCGTCTCGCCCCACCCCCACCTATTACACGCCCCCCACCACCCAAAATCTTCACCCCCCCCCCTCCTTCTCATCACTCCTCTCCTCCCCCCCACTTCAATGGTTGCACCCCCTCTCATCCACCTCGAAGCTCTTTCTCTGCTCCTCTCATCCCCCCGCACCCCCCCCCCCCTTACGTCCCCCCCACTCCTCCCCGCCCCCACTGCAATCCCCCACCTCCCCCACCATCCAAATCCCCCCCCCCGTCCTCTTACTACCCCGGAGACTTGGTGACGTAACTGGCATCAACACACGCGTCACGACGGGGCGCGGCTTGTTGGGGTTTCCCGCCTTCGAGAGACAGGGGTGTCGCCATTTTTAAAGGGACGCGAGCGATTTCGACCACGGCGACACGCGGTCGATCGAATCGGCCGCGTCGATAATCACTGCGCCACCGCTCCCCACACACCCGCACAACGCAAAGGACAAAGACACCACGTGGCGTGTTAGGCACAACGCACGGGACAAAGAGCCCTCGTAGGGCAAAGTGCTGTTCACGAGAAGATCTGAAGGCCGGTAGTAGTGCAAACGAGAGTGTGGGTGGACACAGCATCACGCCCGGTCGCCTTTGTCTCCCCCAGTTCTGATGCTCGTGCACTGCATCTGGTACTCATTTGAGGCTGAGGCGACCTTCGGGAGTGGATTTGCGTCACCGATGTTGGCCGTGAGAGAGAATAGAACCCAGGCCTCACGGGGTTCGTCAGCGTCGTGCGCAAACCACTGCGCCACCGCTCCCCACCAGGCACAATACAACATTCATTCATAACACACAGACACACAGAGACACACACACAGACAGACACACACAAAAACACACACGCGCACAGACACACACGCACACAGACACACACGCACACACACATACACCAACACACAGAGACAGACACACACACAGACAGACACACACAGACACACACACAGACACACACACACCATTGTCGGCGTCACGGCAAAGTGCGAACTAATCTCCATCTGTCCCTGCGGTATGGGATAGAGTGTTGCCCCCTCGCACGCGTGGGTTTTCTCCGGGCCGCTCCGGTCTCCTCGCACGCGTACAATTGGCTGAGAGCATCTTAGTATGTAGAGGACAGCAGACCTTGGGCAATTGTGTTGGTAGCGCCGGCTGCTGCTGCCTTCCAGCTGTGTGCTTCCTGAGCGATTGCGAGAGATTCCATTTGCGTGAACGAAGCTCCACGAAAAGCTACACCATGATGTTAGATCATCCATCAATCCAGAATACACAAATACGAAGATCCCCCTACAGACCCTGTTACAGATTGTCGAGGCAAGTGCTGTTAGCGAGTAGCACCTATGAAGGCCGGCACGGCACACGATGGGATAGGTGGCCATCACCACGCCTTTGTCTCCCCAGCGGTGACGTTTACACACCGCGCCAGGTACTCATTTGAGGCTGAGTCAACCTCAGGGAGGCCCGGGCACTGCTTCAGACAATCGTCAATGTTGCTGGCTGTGAGTGGGGATCGAACTGGGTTCGCGGTGGGGTCGGGGTCGTAGCGCAGCGCGCTCACCACACGACACTACCGCTCCACCCCACACACAGCACGCACGCGAGCGCGATCATAGACACACGGGCGCACACAAAGGACAGCGCAACTCGAAGACACAATCGGCTACCCGCTCGCGATGCCGTCTCAAGCCGAGACTCATGCCCAGACTCGCACCTCTGTTGCTGCTGCTGTTAAAAAACACAATTCGTAGCCAGGTGAAGGCACCGCTGAGTTGTGTAGCATCGCAAATGGTCACCTCGCTCAACCAAGGGGCCCATGGCCGTGTGGAAATGTAGAGCAGCGGCTAAATGACTCTTAACGCCGTCTCACGGGAAGCAGAGAGAGAGAGAGAGAGACGCAAACTCCAAATATACAGCAGGGTACGTGATGTGGACTCATGCTGAGTCTCACTCTGAGTCTCACGCTGAGTATCACGCAGACTCTCACGCTGAGTCTCACTCTGACTCTCACTCTGACTCTCACTCTGAGTCTAACGCTGAGTCTCACGCTGAGTCTCACGCTGAGTATCACGCCGACTCGTAACCGTCGTTACAGCGCTGTGTCTCACCATCTGCAGGCAGCAGATGAAGATGAGCGCGCAGCGACCGGTACAGCACGCCATGCCGGGTGCCGGGGCGAAGCGCCACCACCACCACCGGCTGGGCGCGAGAGGCTGGTGGCCGCTCCTGGCAGAAGGAAGGCGGCGATGGCGGCGTCGTCGTTAGCAGCAGCAGCAGTGGATAGAGCAAGGTGGAGCAGGCGGGATGGTGGCTCGTGCATGGACGTCACTCATTCATCCCGCGAGGAGGAGGAGTATGAGGATGTGAGGGAGGACGTGGGCTCCATGCCGGAGATTTCGCGTCTCCCGCTCGCTCTCCTCCCCCTCTCCCCCTTCTCTCTCTCTGCTGTGCTCGATTCCGACTCGCAGCTATTCCCTTTCTCCCTTCCGCCTCTCCCTCGTCTTCCTTGTCCCCCCCCCTCTCCCTCCTCCTCCTCCCCCTCCTCCTCTTCTCCCTCTCCCTTGCCCCCGTCTCTCGTTCCGCTGCCTCGGCCCGTCGTCTCTCGCTCCCACCTCGTCCTTGCGGTCTCCCCCTCCTCCTCCCCCTCCTCAGACTCGTCTCGCGATCACCGTCTCCGACTCCCTTTCTCGAGGTCTCTCCTCCTCCTCCTCTCCCCCTCCTACTCACGCTTCCCCTGTCCCGTGCCCCGTCTCCCTCTCGTCTCTCCCTTCTCCCTCTCCCGTGCCCCGTCTCTCTCTCCCCCGTCTCTCTCCCTCTCCCGTGCCCAGTCTCTCTCCCCCGTCTCTCTCCCTCTTCTCTTCTGTCTCCCGTCTCTCTCTCTCTCCTCTGTCGTCTCTGTGATGCGCGGCCACACAAAGACCCGTGATTTACATTCACAGCAGCGCTGCGCACACACACCGCACACACACACACCGCACACACACACACACCGCACACACACACATGGCACACACACACACACATCGCACACACACATCGCACACACACACACACATCGCACACACATCGCACACACATCGCACACACACACACACCGCACACACACATCGCACACACATGGCACACACACACCGCACACACACACACCGCACACACACATCACACACACACACACCGCACACACACACATCGCACACACACACACACATCGCACACACACACCGCACACACACACGTCGCACACACATGGCACACACACACATTGCACACACACTCACATGGCACACACACACACCCCGCACACACACCGCACACACACACATCGCACACACATCGCACACACACCGCACACACACAAAGACAAAGATCCCCTGTGTAGCCTTCACATACTTCTTGGGGCAAGTGCTGTTAGCGAGCACCTATGCAGGACGTCACCGTATACAGCGGGGTGGGTGGCCAGCACCACGCCAGGACGCACTTTGTCTCCCCAGTGGCGATGTTCACACAAAGCCCCAGGTATTCATTTGAGGCTGAGTAGACCTAGGGGACGCCCAGGACCGGTTCATAGATAATCGTCACTGGTGTTGGCCGTGAGCGGGACTCGAATTCGGATCGCCGGATTAGTAGCGCAATGCACTAACCACTGCACCACCGCTCCCCACACATACAAAGACACACACACACAAGATGACACCAACATACTCACATACACTATACACACACACAATCACATTTTCTCACGCATACACACAAATATACACACACACACAAAACAACAATCGCCGTTCGCCACTAAGTGGCGATTACATGATCATTGCGCTTGTGCCAGGCTCGGTGCACCTTGAGGTCACGTGAACAGGCCGACGGCTTGCTGGTAGGTCACGGGACAGACTCAGGTGCCGTTGGTTGACTGAGTGAGATGACTGGTAGATGCACCACCCGTGCTCCCTACAGTGCAAACTTGTCGCGATTTAACCACCCGGCGCTCCGCTCGTTGTTGTGAGCGTCGCTCTTCCGCCCTCCGTTATCGCTGGAGGGCGACTGCCTTCAACTGCCCAGTAGCGTCCTTCACGAGCCTCCTCCACAGAGGGCGATCTTGACACCGCTGGTACCAGTCATCGGCAAGTCCACTCAGGCTCCACATCTTCCTGTACCACATCACTCCATCTCTTCTCTAGCCCGTGCCGCGCCCGTTTAGCCCCCTCGATCCGGCAAAACAGATGATGCCTGGGCATGCGGTGGCTGGGTATGCGGGCTACATGACCCAGCCAACGCAGCTTCGCCTGCCGGAGGCGCTCACCGATGACAATTATGTCCATATCTTTCAAGGATCTGTGAGCTCCTCACACTATCCACACATAAGCACTTAAATACGAATACACATCCATAATATAGTTTTTTTTTGGGTTAGATCGCGAAAATAGAAATGTGTCGTTAAACCCGCCACCACCCGACACAGCCAACTAGTAAGGGTTGTCACGTGAACAGAACGTGGCCAATTCGTCACTAGTACAGCATTAACCGGTGTGTTGGAGAGCCAAGCCACAACATTTACAATCTGAGTACGACGTTTCGCCAGTAATTACAACTAGCTTCATCAGGCGACGAATACAAAGCCATAGACCCCCCCCCTCCCGTATAACCTTTCACCTACTGCTGGGGCAAGTGCTGTAAGCGAGTAGCACCTATTAAAGTAACACCTATGGAGTAGCACCTATAGAGTAGCACCTATAAAGTGGCACCTATAAAGGCCGGAACAACACACGAGGGGGTGGGTGGCCAACACCACGCTGGGACGCCCATCTCCCGAGTGCTTGTACTTGCACACCGCACTAGGAACTTACTCATTTACGGCCGAGTCGACCTACACACACACAAGTATAATAACAACAACAATATTCCTAACCCGCTCCTCGCTTACAGACGCGGGCACGCGACTCGGGCTCCATCCTCCTCCTCTATACGGCATCTCCTCTTCCTCCCATCCTCCTCCCACTCATCCACCCCTCCTCCTCCTCTCTACCCTCATACTCTTATACATCTCCTCTTTTCCGATCCAACCTCCCACTCCTCCACCCTTCTCTTCCCCCTCTACCCTCATCCCACTTCGATGCCCGCCCAATCCTCCCTGGCCTCGTCTATCCCGCGTCCTCCATCACTGCCCCCCTCCCCCATCTCCTCCTCCTCCTCGCTAATGAGGTGTGGAATCTCAATGTCAGGCGAGTGGCTCTCCGCGGCTCCAGTCTCGCGAGGCCAGGAAGACAAAAGCGGTTCGATTAGAGGGTGCGGATGCTATTCAAACTGCGTTCACTACGAGGCATGGCTCCACGGAAGATTAATTGCATGCCCGGTCTTTAAAAAAAATACTCTTAATTATCTCACTGCCTCTTCTGTCAATCCACCGCTGTATGTACATTGATCTTCTTTCGCACCGTACGTAGCCCACTGCGCTATTCGGGGAAGGACAATAAACCAAACACAAACAAACAGTTCTGAAGAAATCAATTTGTCAATATTGATGATGATGTTCAAGTGAAATAGCTCCCAGCGGCTTCCGAATATCGGTGGGAAGAGCGTTCCAGACGGCCGCAGGAGCGCATCTGAAAGCGCCGCGCGATGCGGTGACCGCCGCCTTTGTTCGATGTCGAGCAGCCAGAAGCCGCCGATGCTGCTTCTGCTGTGAGGATGACCACCGCAGTTCGCCTGATGATGGTGGTGATGATGATGATGGTGATGGAGGTAGTGATGGTGGTGATGGTGGTGATGATGGTGGTGGTAGTGATGATGGTGGTGATGATGGTGATGATGATGGTGGTGATGATGGTGGTGGTTATGATGATGATAGTGGTGATGATGGTGGTGGTGGTGGTGATGATGATGGTGGTGGTGATGGTGGTGGTGATGATGGTGATGGTGGTGGAGGTGGTGATGGTGGTGATGATGGTGGTGGTAGTGATGATGGTGGTGATGATGGTGATGATGGTGGTTATGATGGTGGTGGTGATGATGATGGTTATGATGGTGGTGGTGTTGATGGTGATGATGGTGGTGGTGGTGATGATGGTGGTGGTGATGATGATGATGATGGTGGTGATGATGTTAGTGGTGATGGTGGTGGTGATGATGGTGGTGGTGATGGTGGTGATGATAGTGGTGGTGGTGATGATGGTGATGATGATGGTGGTGGTGATGATGATGATGGTGGTGGTGATGGTGGTGGTGATGATGATGGTGGTGGTAATGATGGTGATGGTGGTGGTGATGATGGTGGTGATGATGGTGGTGATGATGGCGGTGGTGGTGATGATGGTGGTGATGGTGGTGGTGATGGTGGTGATGATGGTGGTGATGGTGGTGATGATGGTGGTGATGATGGTGATGGTGGTGATGATGGTGGTAATGCTTTGAGCTCCTTGTACGAGATCAGCGAGCTCTGTTGGGTGTTCATCTGCGGCAAGCGCTCTGCGCGTGTGACGAGAGTGACCTCATTTAGTTTGTGTTCGTGTGACGAGAGTGACCTTATTTGGTTTGTGTTCGCCAACCGGAAGACGATGGATCTCGGAGACCACTACACGTGGACGTACATGGGCAGATCTGGCAGCGAAGCCCTCCCCAACATTGCCGGCGCGGTATGGAGGAGGGGGAGAAGGGAGTGGGGGTGTTTTGACCATACTTCACCACGCCTGTCGATGCGAGTTGATGATGGAAGTTGGTGGGAGGCGGTGCGAGGTGGAGGAGCAGTTGTGGTTGGGTGGTTGTGGTGCAAGAAGGCCGCGTGGTTAATCGTGGCTAGAGTGTAGTCAAGTGTCGTTGGCGTAATTTCAACTAAACTATGAACTATTTTATTTGACCAGGTCAGGCTCACTGAGCTACAATGCTCTTTTGTCAGAAGCGACCTGGCCACAAACGAAAGTCTAGATTTGAAGCTTTCGTGTCTGCAAGGATTCATATTCTTAGGTTTTTTTTCGGTAAAGTCACGTAGTTAAAAAAAGTAAAATAAAAATAAAGAAATATTAATCACGACGTTTCGGAGGCAACACAAGCTTCCGTCTTCAGGTGGAACCGTCACTTGATACAGCTATCGTGCTGCGACGGTTCCACCTGAAGACGGAGGCTTGTGTTGTCTCAGAAACGTCGTTATTTTTATTATTTTTGTATTTTTTTTTACGTGACTTTACCGGAAAAAAAACAACCTAAGAATATGAACACAAACGAAAGCTCAACCAAGTGGCGTTTCGCGTGTAAATGTATCGCAGCCACTCACTCTAAGGGCCCGTCCATAAATGACGTCACGCACCTAGGGGGGGGGGGGGTCAGACATTTGTGACCATGTGTGACGAGGGGGGGGGGGGTTTGAGAAATGTGACGTCACATCAAATTGCGCAACTTTAAATAAATATAGACAACACGTTCTACTTAATAAAACTGACTTTTTGATAAACGTTTTCTCCTACAACATCAGAGTGCAGCGCCACATTAAATACGCACTACAATGCCAATAGTTTAAAGCTTTGTGACGTCATATTTGAGGGGGGGTCTGACTTTTTGTGACGCCGTGTGACGAGGGGGGGGGGGGGGAGGTCAAAAATCGTTCAAAATCGCGTGACGTCATTTATGGACGGCCCCTAAACGCGTGACGTTGATTTTAAATTCGGAGGGGAAAAGCCGGAGGACCAGAGAGAATGATCCACGCGACCATGGGGAGAACATGCACACTCCGAATACAAGAGCGGGCGTCAGGGTCGGGAACGACCCCACGACCTCCTGTGTACCAGGCGAGGTCGTCAACATCTCACCACCTGCGGTGAGTGTGGTTGGGGTGGTTAGTGTGGTTGAGATGTTCGTGTGTGGTTGGTGTGGTTAGTGTGGTTGTGTGGTCACCCTCTGTGTGTTGAGTGTGGTTGTGTGGTCAACCTCTGTGTGTTGAGTGTGGTTGTGTTGTCGACCTCTGTGTGTTGAGTGTGGTTGTGTTGACAACCTTTGTGTGTTGACTGTGGTTGTGTGGTCAACCTCTGCGTGTTGAGTGTGGTTGTGTTGACAACCTCTGTGTGTTGAGTGTGGTTGTGTGGTCAACCTCTGTGTGTTGAGTGTGGTTGTGTAGTCCACCTCTGCGTGTTGAGTGTGGTTGTGTGGTCAACCTCTGTGTGTTGAGTGTGGTTGTGGTGTCAACCTCTGTGTGTTGAGTGTGGTTGTGTTGACAACTTCTGTGTGTTGAGTGTGGTTGTGTGGTCAACCTCTGTGTGTTGAGTGTGGTTGTGTGGTCAACCTCTGTGTGTTGAGTGTGGTTGTGTGGTCAACCTCTGTGTGTGTTGAGTGTGGTTGTGTGGTCAACTTCTGTGTGTTGAGTGTGGTTGTGGTGTCCACCTCTGTGTGTTGAGTGTGGTTGTGTGGTCAACCTCTGTGTGTTGAGTGTGGTTGTGTGGTCACCCTCTGTGTGTTGAGTGTGGTTGTGTGGTCAACCTCTGTGTGTTGAGTGTGGTTGTGTGGTCACTCTCTGTGTGTTGAGTATGGTTGTGTGGTCAACCTCTGTGTGTTGAGTGTGGTTGTGTGGTCAACCTCTGTGTGTTGAGTGTGGTTGTGTGGTCAACCTCTGTGTGTTGAGTGTGGTTGTGTGGTCACTCTCTGTGTGTTGAGTCTGGTTGTGTGGTCAACCTCTGTGTGTTGAGTGTGGTTGTGTGGTCAACCTCTGTGTGTTGAGTATGGTTGTGTGGTCAACCCCTGTGTGTTGAGTGTGGTTGTGTGGTCAACTTGTGTGTTAATTGTGGTTGTGGTGTCCACCTCTGTGTGTTGAGTGTGGTTGTGTGGTCAACTTGTGTGTTAATTGTGGTTGTGGTGTCCACCTCTGTGTGTTGAGTGTGGTTGTGTTGTCGACCCTGCACCGCATCGCCCCCTGCCGGCCGCTTCGCCCACTCTTTCAGTTCCCATTCCCTCACCCACAAAGACAAAGATCCCCCGAATAGCCTTAACCCACTTTTGGGGCAAGTGCTATTAAAGAGGAGCACTTATGAAAGCCAGCACGGCACACGAGGCGATTGGTGGCCAGTACCAAGCCCGGCCGCCTTTGTCTCCCCAGTCCCAATACCAATACCGTACCAATACCATACCAATACCGTACCAATACCATTCCAATACCGTACCAATACCAATACCGTCCCAATACCATACCAGTACCGTACCAATACCAATACCGTACCAATACCGGTCCAATACCAATAACGTACCAATACCGTCCCAATACCGTACCAACACCAATACCGTACCAATACCAATACCGTCCCAATACCAATACCGTACCAATACCAATACCGTCCCAATACCAATACCGTGCCAATATCGTCCCAATACCAATACCGTACCAATAGCAATACGGTACCAATACCGTCCCAATACCAATACCGTACCCATCGCAGTGGATCGATCAAATCTGAAGTGTTCATATCGTGAAATCGATTGTTGAGTCATTCGTGAATGAATAATTATTAGATTATTAATACATTTTGATTTGAACCTTTCGTGACTGCAGGAATCCATACTCTTTGGTTCTTTCGGTAAAGTCACGTGGGTAGAAAAATAAAATAATTGATCACTACGTTTCGATGGCAACACAACCGTGATGCGATCGAAACGTCGTGATCCATGATCTTTTCTCCCTACGTGACTTCACCGAACGAACCAAAGAGTATGAATTAACAATTGGATGACGATGATGGTCATGCATCGTCACAATTCCTTCGAAAGGACATCCATCGAAAGAGACGGATCGATGACATGGGCTCCTGTGCATCAGGAACGAATCGCTTCATCCAGCAGTGGACAGATCACGGCTGCTGATGCTGCTGCTGATGATGAAAGCCAACCGGAACCCCTCCCGTTCCCGCACGAGGCGGGGGTTGTCGTCAGCCAATCGGATTGCGCGATGTGCTGAGCCTCCGGATGTGACGTCGAGTGAGGGACAATGGAAGGGGCGACGCATTCCTTCGTGGTGGGGGGGGGCAGAGGATGACGGAGGATGACGGAGAGGGAGGGGCTAGGGATAAGGGGGGGGGCTAGGGATAAGGGGGGGGGCTAGGGTGAGGGGGGGCTAGGGATAAGGGGGGGGGGCTAGGGTGAGGGGGGGGGAGGGGGGAGGGGAGGAAGGAAGTCGTTAGTATCGATTCACTGGAAGCATGAAGTCCCGCGTGTGTAATCGATGAGTCACGATTATATTTTTGTGTCGGATGGAGAGCTGATGAAAGGGGAGGGGCGTCGTTATCGATTCGATTCCGCGCCGTCAAGTCGTATCGATTAATCGCTTCGTTAGTCGATTGGGTGGGAGTTTACCATAAACACAACACATATCGGAGTCGTGACCGGATCGGTAGCGTTCTTGTTCTTTTGCAGCGCTCCGCGCTGTTTGGTTTAGAAAAATAAAAAAAATCTGTTCCAAAGCTTACACCCCACCCACCCCACCCACTACCACCCACCCCACCCACTACCACCCCCACCACCACCCCCACCACCACCACCACCCCCACCACCACCACCCCCACCACCACCCACCCCCCCACCCTACCCACCATCAACCCACCCCACCACCACGACCACCTCCCACCATCACCCCCCACCATCAGCCCCCCCACCCCACCACCCGCACCATCCCCCACCCACCACCACCCATCCACCATCACCCCCCCCACCATCACCCGCCCCCCCCACCACCCATCCCACCCATCCCTCCGCTCCTCGGGCTAATCATTACAAAAACGAGCAGGGTTTGCAAGTGACAGCCTCCGTTCTTCCGACACACCACGAGTCGTGGTGTTGGCCACGGTGGTTGTTGATGCGCGTGTAGTCGTGTGCGTGGAGTCGTGTAGTCGTGTGTGTGTGTGTTGGCTGTGCATGCGAGTGTGAGTGTGTACAAGGACAAAACACACACACACACAACTTATTGGCACACAGGCACACACAGACACGTGCACACACACACAGACACGCATCTACACAGACCGTAGATACACAGTGCTGTGAACACGCTCTGCTGCTTACACACCCACAGACAACAGGCAGTCAACAACAACAGCAGCCGCTATTCACCACTAAGTGTCGGTGACGTCAGCACAGCCGCCTTGTGCCAGGCTAGGTGCACTGTGGGTCGCCTGTGAAGTCTCACGGACACACACACAGCACACACACACACACACGGGATACACACACACACAGCACGCACACACACAGCACACACACACACGGGATACACACACAGCACACACACACGGGACACACAGCACACACACGGGACACACAGCACACACACGCACAGCACACACACGGGATACACACACAGCACACACACACACAGCACACACGCACACACAGCACACACACGGCACACACACACACGGGACACACAGCACACACGCACGCACACACGCACACACGGCTGTACACACACGGCGAGGGAGCGGAGAGGAGCGGAGATGAACGCGGACAGGAGGCGAAAGAAGAGCAAACTTAGCCACGGAGGAGGAGGAGGAGCAGTGACCCAGTCAGGTATCTCACTCAGTCACTCACTCGGTCATTCAGTCACTCAGTCACTCACTCACTCAGTCACTCAGTCACTCACTCACTAAGTCACTCAGTCACTCACTCGGTCACTCAGTCACTCACTCGGTCACTCAGTCACTCACTCGGTCACTCACTCAGTCACTCATTCACTCGCTCGGTCACTCAGTCACTAAGTCACTCAGTCACTCACTCGGTCACTCAGTCACTCACTCGGTCACTCAGTCACTCACTCGGTCACTCACTCAGTCACTTGCTCGGTCACTCAGTCACTCACTCACTAAGTCACTCAGTCACTCACTCGGTCACTCATTCAGTCACTCACTCACTAAGTCACTCAGTCACTAAATCACTCACTCAGTCACTCACTCAGTCACTCACTCACGCAGTCACTCACTAAGTCACTCACTCGGTCACTCACTAAGTCACTCAGTCACTCACTCACGCAGTCGCTCACTCACTCAGTCACTCACTTAGTCACTCATTCGGCCACTCACTCGGTCACTCACTCACTCAGTCACTCACTCAGTCACTCACTCACTAAGTCACTCAGTCACTCACTCGGTCACTCATTCAGTCACTCACTAAGTCACTCAGTCACTCACTCGGTCACTCACTCAGTCACTCACTCACGCAGTCGCTCACTCACTCAGTCACTCATCGGCCACTCACTCGGTCACTCACTCAGTCACTCACTTGGTCACTCAATCCTCACACTCGGTCACTCCTCACACTCACTAACTCGCAATCTCAGTCACTCTCTCACTCCTCACACTCAGTAGTCAGTCACTCACTCAGTCACTCACTCACTCAGTCACTCACTCCTCACTCACACTCGCTCACTCAGTCACTCACACTGAGTAGTCAATCGCTAGTACCGCTTCTGGGACCCAGGGTACCCGGTACTGGCATGAGTCTGTGGGTCTCTGTGTGAGTCTGTGGTATCTGTGTGAGTCTGTGGGTCTCTATGTGAGTCTGTGGGTCTCTGTGAGTCTTTGTGTCTCTGTGTGAGTCTGTGGGTCTCTGTGAGTCTGTGAGTCTCTGTGTGAGTCTGTGAGTCTCTGTGTGAGTCGGTGGGTCTCTGTGTGAGTCTGTGGTATCTGTGTGAGTCTGTGAGTATCTGTGTGAGTCTGTGGGTCTCTGTGCGAGTCTGTGGGTATCTGTGCGAGTCTGTGGGTCTCTGTGCGAGTATGTGGGTCTCTGTGCGAGTCTGTTGGTCTCTGTGCGAGTCTGTGGGTATCTGTGTGTGTCTGTGGGTATCTGTGCGAGTCTGTGGGTCTCTGTGTGAGTATGTGGGTCTCTGTGTGAGTCTGTGGGTCTCTGTGCGAGTCTGTGGGTATCTGTGCGAGTCTGTGGGTATCTGTGTGAGTCTGTGGAATATCTGTGCGAGTCTGTGGGTCTCTGTGCGAGTCTGTGGGTCTCTGTGCGAGTCTGTGGGTATCTTTGTGTGTCTGTGGGTATCTGTGTGAGTCTGTGGGTCTCTGTGCGAGTCTGTGGGTATCTTTGTGTGTCTGTGGGTATCTGTGTGAGTCTGTGGGTCTCTGTGTGAGTATGTGGGTCTCTGTGTGAGTCTGTGGGTCTCTGTGTGAGTCTGCGGGTATCTGTGCGAGTCAACATGTCTCGGTGAGTCGATGAGTCTCAATGTGGGTCTATTGGTCACTATGTGAGTGTATGGGTCTCGATGTGAGTCTATGGGTCGCGATGTGAGTGTATGGGTCTGTGTGAGTCTATGGTGGGTCTCTGTGTGAGCCTACGGGTCTCTATATGAGTCTTCGACTCTATATGTGAGTCTATGGGTCTTGGTGTGTGAGTCTATGGGTCTCTCTGAGTCTCTATGGGTCTTGGTGTGTGAGTTTGTCTCGGGCCAGACGGAGGAGCATTTCCAGGCGAGTGTCACAGCGTGCCACTGTAAGCACGTGACAACTGCCTTCAGTAGTACCTGCCATGTGCCGCTGCGGGGAGCGGTGGTATAGTGGTTGCGCTACGAACCCGGCCAACACCAAGTGACGATTATCTGAGCTGTCGACTGGGCCTTAAAGGAGGTGTGATGTGTAAAACCATTGCCAACGTGAATCTAATGTCGTGGATTTACTCTCCAACACACCGGTGGGCTGGAGTAGCGACTTGTTAATCTTGATTTGAAGCTTTCGTGAATGCACTCTTTGGCTATTTCGATAAAGTCACGTAGGTAGTCAAATAAAAAATAATATACCACGACGTTTCGATCGCAAAACAAGCGGAAACTTTATTGAAGCAACTTATTGACGCGTTGTTTACTTGACCAACCTTACTGGCTGTGTCGGGTGGTGGAGGGTTACGACACATTTATACTCACACGACCTTTATTATGAATAATATTGTTCGCGGAAGACTACGTGTTTAACTCAATCATTTAACTCCCCCAAGCACCTCACTCACACACTCATTCAGTCATTCACCCACTATCTCACTCACCCACTCATTCAGTCACTCACCCACTAGCTCACTCACCTATTCATTGAGTCACTCACTCACTATCTCACTCACCCACTCATTCAGTCACTCACTATCTCACTCACCCACTCATTCAGTCACTCACCCACTAGCTTACTCACCCACTCATTCAGTCACTCACCCACTAGCTCACTCACCCATTAATTCAGTCACTCACTCACTATCTCACTCACCCACTCATTCAGTCACTCACCCACTAGCTCACTCACCCATTCATTCAGTCACTCACTATCTCACCCACTCATTCAGTCACTCACTATTTCACTCACCCACTCATCAGTCACTCACCCACTATTTCACTCACTCACTCATTCAGTCACTCACTATCTCACTCACCCACTCATTTAGTCACTCAATCAATAACTCCCCACCACCTCACTCATTCGCTCACCCACTCATTCACGCACGAATTAACTCACCTACCCACGAATTCATTCACCCACCCACTTGCCTCACCCACCCACTTAACTCACTCACCCACTATCTCACCCAACAATTCGCACACTAAAGCACCCACCCACTCAATCATTCACTCACCCACCATTTCACTCGTTCCACTCATTCATTCACTCGCTCTTGCAAATGAGACTATCCTGGTATTTGAAGTTGTCACATGGTTCGACAAATTACATAGGAAACTTAAACTCACTCAATTTACCCCCTGCAGTCTCACTCACCCACTCATTCACTTACTCAATGATTAATTCACCCACTCAATCCTTCAATCACCCACCATCTCACTAATTCACTCACGCACGTATTCAGTCACTCAACCACTGTCACACTCACCCCCCTCATTCACCCACCCACCATCTGACTCATTCACTTATCCACTTATTCAGTCACTCAACCACTATCTCACTCACCCCCCTCATTCACCCACTCAATCAGTCACTCGCCCACGGTATCACTCATTCACTCACCCACCCACCATCTGACTCATTCACTCACCATCTTACTAATTCACTCATCCACCATCTCGCCCACTCGTTCAATCTCTCACCCACTCACTCTTGCAATTGAAACTCTCCACCCTGGTCTCTTGAGATTCTCACTTGCAGCTTAAACCAAACAAACTCGAACCTCGATCTTTTTCACCACAATCCCCGATCGACAGAAATATCTAAAAATAGAAAAGAAATAACAAAAACACTTTTACATAACCCAGGGTGTGGTGGTGGTGGCGGTGGTGAACTAAGCACGCTGTGCCGTGAACCTGGCGACCTGAGTTCAATCCGCCCACACGACGGCTCACGTCAGTGGCCGGTCATATCTGGACCTGTCCACATCCCTTCGCCGACCGACAATGAACGAATGAATGACCGGCGTGGTGAAGTATGGTCAAACAGGCGCCATGACGGACAACAGTGTGTGGGGGGGGGAGTGTTCTGTAAGCCAGCGGTGAAAAACGGCTGAAATGTAACTTTTTAATATTGAGAGCAAAGAATTAGTTTTTTTCTTCTTGGTTCTTTCGGTAAAGTCACGTAGAATATTATGTTTTATTTTTATTATTTTATTATTTCCATTCTACGTGACTTTACCGAAAGAACCAATAAGATGAATCCCTGCAGTCACGAGAGCTTTAAATCGAAAATTAGTTTTTTGCTTAAACGAGACTGCATGAAGGCGCAGCCCCGCAGCATCTTGCTCACATCACTGCTGGCGGAAGCGCCTCCGCTGGGGAGGGAGCTCAGCAGTGGCTACGCACGCGGCTGGCCCCGTGACCCAGCGCGGTGTGGAGGCAGCAGCAGCTAGGGTTGGTGGACCACCGCGCAGATTCAAGTTTCATTTATTTGGTGGAGCCCTGTGAGCCATTCGGCTCTTGAATTGGGTGCAACCGCAACAAACAAAAAAAATGAACACGAAAACATCTTAAAGTGACTAAGTGCAAAGAGAAAATCCTAGAAAAGACAGCAAAATATTGCAGAAAAGGCACCGTACACCAACGCTGTGTGCAAAAATCCCAGTGGGATGCAAGTCAAACAACAACAACCACAAGACAACTTAGATTAAGGCCATCAGTCTAACTCTGTACTACTACAACAAACAAACATGGCCAAACCGAAAAACTTTTCGAAAATCACCAAAATAAAGTCATAAAAGCAATGAAACAGTGATGATGTCGGAACAACACGGAGCTGATGAACGGCTATCGAAACCCACAGGGATTCGCAGCTATACAGCCCCACCGAGGAGTCAACCCTCTCCGTCCTCTCTATGCAAGTGCTCCGAAGAAGGGCCATTGCCCGAAACGTCACCTATTACAGTGTCAATATTTTTCCAAATAAGGCCACAGGCACACACTCTGCGTTGGTTTGCGTCCCGCTGACCGGGAGTTGCAAGTCGAGCGTGCTAACCATCGCGCCCACCGCTCCACCACCTTGGTGACACATTCGTGATTGTTGTTCTTGATAGCCGCATGATGTGTACGTTCGTTTTCGATGCCTCGGGGTGGGGGTGGTGGTGGCTTTGTTGCGGCGCGTTCTGAGAATCGTGGTGGTGGTGGCGGTTGCGGTATTTAGGTGCCGAGGCAGTGGCAAAACCTGCTTAGACCCACCACCACCACCACCATCCACCAACACAGACAAAGATCCCCTGGGTAGCTTTCACAGACTGTTGGGGCAAGTGTTGTTAGCGAGCACCTATGAAGGCTGGCACGGCACACGAGGGGGTGGGTGGCCAGCGACCACGCACGGCCGCCTTTGTCTCCCTCGTTGCAAATGTTTTTACACATCGCACCAGGTACTCCATTGAGGCTGAGTCGACCTAGGGGAGGCGCAGGATGGGTTCGGATAATCGTCACTTGGTGTTGGCCGTTGAGCAGGAATCGAACCCGGGTCGCGCTAACCGCTACTACACTACCGCTCCCCCCCCAAAACCACCACCATGTCACCCTCACCGTGACCCTGACCGTCAACCTCACCGTCACCATCACCGTCACCCTGTTCCATAGTTGGTCGCCATTCGTGATTAGACGCCAGAGCCGGAGTCGTTCCCCTCCACCCCTGAGACGCTCCTCGTTACCACCACTACAACCACTACCACCACCGACCACCACTACCACTACTATCACTGCTACTGCTACCACCACTACCACCACTACCCACACACCACTACCACCACCCACCACTACCACCACTACCATGACCCACACACCACTACCACCACTACCCACACACCACTACCACCACTACCCACACACCACTACCGATAACCACCAACTACCACGCCCCAGCACCACCCACTACCACCACCCACCCACCAATACCCAACACCACACATCCACCATCACCACCCACCACCACCACCCACCACCAGCTACCACCAGCCACCACCACCAACGTCGCAACATCGCCATTGTTTCGTGACTGTGATTGCTTGTTTTGTCGCGTGCGCTCATTGGAACGCTCTCTCTCTCCCCCTCCCCTTGGTGTCTCCCTTCAGGCACCCCGAAGCAACTCCAACGGAAGCAAAGTACGCGTGTGACTCGCACTCCCTCGCTCTCTCTGCCCGTGTTCACCACGCCACCAAATACACGTCCTCTGCCGCACTCGAATATTAATAAGAGCGAGGAAGACAATCCGTGCGTGTGTGTGCGCTCTGTAAACGCTTTCCCTGTACCTGTCTGTGGGTCGGTGGGTGGGTGATTGGGAGTGTGCGTGAGTAGGTGAGTGAGTGGGTGTGGGTGGGTGGGTGAGTGAGTGACGAGTGGGTGTATGGGTGGGTGGGTAAGTGAGTGAGCGAGTGGGTAAGTGAATGAGTGGGCGAGTGGGTGTGGGTGGGTGGGTGAGTGAGTGAGCCAGTTGATGTGTGTATGCGTGGGTAAGTGAGTGAGTGAGCGAGTGGGTGGATAAGTGAGTGAGCGAGTGCGTGGGTGGGTAAGTGAGTGAGTGAGCGAGTGGGTGTGTTAGTTGGGTAGGTAAGCGAGTGAGTGAGCGAGTGGGTGGGTAAGCGATTGAGCGAGTGGGTGTGTTTGTGTATGGGTGTGTTAGTTGGGTGGATGAGCGAGTGGGTGGGTGGGTAAGTAAGCGAGAGAGTGAGTGGGTGGGTGGGTGAGTGGGTGGGTAAGTAAGCGAGAGAGTGAGTGGTTGGGTGGGTGAGTGGGTGTGTGGGTGGGTGGATAAGCGAGTGAGTGAGCGAGTGGGTGGGTGGGTAAGTAAGCGAGCGAGTGGGTGTGTGGGTGTATGGGTGTGTTAGTTGGGTGGATAAGCGAGTGAGTCGGTGAGTGGGTGTGTGGGTGTGTGGGTGAGTGAGTGAGTGGGTGTGTGGGCGTGTGGGTGTGTGTGGGTGTATAAGCGAGTGAGTGAGTTTTAACCCATCATACTTCATTTACACGCGCCTATTTTTTCCGCGGGACTTTAACGTCGTCTCTCGTTCTCTCCGCGTCCCCACTAGATGGGAGCCAGCCGTCCACCTCCTCCACCTCGTTGGGGCCCCCCACGGCCTCGCGGCGAGCTGACAACGAGGAGGGGGCGGGGGTCGGGCGACGATGGCTCACCCTCACCGCCGTCGTCACCGTCGCAGCCGTGCTCGCTGCCGTCCTCGCCGTCTCGATTATCGTGCTGGGGTGGGCGGATTCCGGCACGCTCTCCGGTAGGCCTTGTGGGGGGCTGGGCTGCGGGGGGGGGGGGATCGAGTGTTGCCCCCTTGCACAAGACGGGGGTTTTGCCCCGGTGCTCCGGTTTCCTCCCACGTCGGTATAATAATAATAAAAACAACCGTTCATCGTTAAATCTGCTGAAAGCCCCGTGACGAGTAAAGCCCCGATCCAGCAGCAGCAGGACCCTCCTGGCAACAACTCCTACGGCTAGGCGTGGCTCTCCGGAGAGAATGAAACAAACCGAGTGAACGAATGGCGGCCTGACCTCCGCACGGCCTCCCCTCCTTTGACTGCAATTCTCTGTGACGGACCTCGCCCATCGGCCACCCTCCAGCGCCTCCCGCACCACGGACCCCTTTGTCCGCTGATTGCGAGGGGGTCGGGTGGTGGCACGATGGTGGCGTGGCAGCCACGTACGCACACGCACACACGCACATACGACGCACACACGCGCACACGCGCACACAGGACAAAGATCCCCCATTTCACCTTTAGAATTTTGGTGCAAGTGCCGTGATCGAGTAGCACCTATGAAGGCCGGCACAGCACGCGAGGGGATGGGTGGTCATCACCACGCCCGGCCGCCTTTGTTTCCTGAGTGGCGATTTTTAAAAATCACGCTAGGTGGTCATCTGACCTAGGGGAGGCCCAGGGCCGATTAAAACAAATTGTCACCGGTGTAGGCCGTGAGCGGGAATCAAACTCTGGTCACCGGGTTCGTAGCGCAGCTCTCTAACCGCTACGCTACCGCATTCCACAGCCGTCATTCGCCACTAAGTGGGGGTGATGTCACCACGGCGCCTGTGCCAGGCCATGTGCACTTTACGGCCACGTGAAGTGTCGAACGCCCGCTGGCAGACCACGGGACGGGCCCAGGTGCCATTGGTTGACTGACACGCACACACGCACACACGCAGCCCCTTCCCACGCCCTTGTGCGCGTCGCGCTCCACCGACTAGCCGAACGCAAAACAAACTCTTTTTGTCACCCGCGTTCGGATATTTTTACGACCAACATCGCAGATGCGGGAGTGTAGTCCCCCCCTCCCCCTTCCACCCCCTTCCCACGCAGCCCACTTGGACCGACGCAGTGACGCGCGGCGTCACGGGCCAGTGGTCGTTACAGTCGGCCTGCATGCGGGCGTGGGCGTGGGTGTGTCCGTGGGCGCGTGCGTTCATTGTCTTCGGGAAGCCGGGTGGTCGGCACGTCACCTGGACCCGCACGGCCGCCCGCACGGTTCCGCCGCGCCGTCTTGTCGCCCTGCGTCACCGTCTCCGCCCCGGAGTGGAAGAGCGGCCTTGGCGCGGCCACACTCTGCCGAGTGAGAGCTCGCGACGAACGCCATCAACGCGGCGAGCGAACATCGACCGTCGATCTCCTGGTCTCCAGAGCAACAGCACCGAGCCACGGCAATCGCCCCTGACGATGTGCCAGGGGAAAGGATCCTCCAACTGGACATTGAGGGAATCTCCCGGGTGTCTAAGCCGTTGGTGACTGCGCGGGTCAAGCGCTGGTGGCTCGGACCCGGACGTGACCCCCAGGATCTCGACATCTGTGACCCCTGCCTGAGCCATGCTGGCCACTTCTGGGAGGGCCCTCTTGTCAAGTGGCCTCGGGGTCAACGACTCTTGACCCCCTCTCCACATCTCCCTGAGCCGTGGAGATCATTGCCCTCTCTCACTCCCCCCCCAACCGCGCTTGTGAATCAACGACCAAAACACGTGGCACAAACACTAGTTATACATGTGTTCGTATTTATCACGATTAACACGTAGGTTCTCGCGACCAATTTTTTCCATGGTAGAGGTCACGGAAATATAAATGTGTCATTAAACCACACGACACTCAGATTGTAAACGTTGTGGCTTGGCTTTCCAACACACCGGTTAGTGCTGTACTAGTGACGAATTGGCCACGTTCTGTTCACGTGACAAACCCCTCACTAGTTGGCCGTGTCGGGCGGTGGTGCGTTTAACGACACATTTATATATTTACGCGATCTAACCCCCCCAAAAAACCCTCTGTCATGAATATGTTTATCCTTTTTTTTTTAACCAGTGGAAGGCCTCATCCAAGAGCTTCGTACCTGCTTTTCAGGAGGGAGCCCTACCACGTGTTTACTACTCAGGGGCGGCGGTTGCTGCGATGCGTAACCCGGATTGATTGATTGATTAACTCGGGGGGGGCATCATCCGTCCGTCCGTCTGGCGGCAGTCAATGAAACGAATAACCACTTTGCGAAAACGGACGCCCTGTGGAATTCGACTCGCCGCATCCCGACTGCCGATGGAGGACCCAGCGATCGCTATCGCTGCTTTCGTTTCACTTCCTCTCTCCACCAGTCGCCCGCTCTCTCTCTCTCGTGCAAACCGAACAACATATTTTTTGATTCCAACCCATTGTCCTGCGAGTTCATTGACGGAATATTTCGCAACCGCGGACGTTGACCCGCCACTGTGACGCTCGCGTTCCGCGCACGGCGAGCGGTCGAAGCTGAGCCTCGGTCTCCTTCACTCCCGGCGGGAGGGTGCGGCCACCATGGCAGAGGTCGCAACCGGGTACCCGATACCCGTACCCTACCCGATACCTGGCTACTCGTACCCAGCCGGGTACGGGTACGGGTAGCCGTTTGCGACGCTGGTGCGGCCGGGTACGGGTACGGGTAGGCCGTGAGTCACTGGTGAGTAACCGTTTGTCACTCATTTCCCAACGTCTTGTCTCTTCTCACAATTCAAGTTCCTAGAATCAACCCACCCGCGCCTGCAACATGGCTTCATCCCAGAGGTCGCAATCAGGTACCCGATACCCGTACCCGGGTGGGTACGGGTAGGGTACGGCCGGGTACGGGTACGGGTACCCGTTTACGACCCTGGTGTGGCCGGGTACGGGTAAGGAATCAAAACCCGTTTGCGACCTCTGCACCGCGGTGCTCACAACAACGAGCGGAGGGCCGGGCGGATAAAACGCAGCGACGTGGCGCATTGGGAGCACGGGTGGTGCATCTGCCAGTCGTCATCTCGGTCATCTCAGTCGGTCGACCCATGGCATCTGGGTTTGTTCCGTGACCTGCCAGCAGCAAGCCTTCCACTCCTCACGTGGCCTCACGGCGCACCTAGCCTGGCACAGGCACTCTGGTGACATCACCGCAACTGCTGCGAATGACGGCAGTTGCGGTTGTTTTTGCCCCGCGCGACAAACCCGGCAACCGTGGTTCGATTCCCGCCCGCGTGTTGCGGTGAGTAAAAGATCATCGCCACTGGGGAGACAAAGGCGGCCAGGCGCGGTGCTGGCCACCCACCCCTTCGTGTGCCGTGCCGGCCTTCATAGACGCTCGCACTTGCCGCAACAGTCTGTTAAGGCCTCACGGGGGATCTTTGTCTTTGTCTCCGACCCCCAGGGCTTCATGGGGGTGGTGAGAATGTGGACCCCTCGCCCCGCAAAGCGGGCCCCCCAGCCCCCCCCGTGACCTTGGACCCCGGCGACCCCCAGCCACCGCACGAGCCGCCCACCACGTCGACCCCCCAGGACTCGGCCCCCAAAGCGCAGCCCGGTGAGTACCGACCCCCACCCTCGCCACCCCCACGACTCTCCTCCCTGCGTCACCCTGTGTCTCCCTGTGTCTCCCTGTTTCCTTGTATCAGAATCCATGCGTAAGCATGATTTTTCTTCATTTGTTCCTCGCTTCTGCTTTGCCCTCCCCTCCCTCGCCCGCCCTCCCTCTCTCGCGGCCCTCCCTCGCCCTCCCTCCCTCGCCCGCCTTCCCTCCCTCTCCTGTCCCTCTCTGGCCAGGAGATGGCAGCACAGCAACGCATCCCAGAGTGTGTGGGCGCGCGTGTGTTTGTACAGCTTTGGGTGTCTGGTCCTGGCGAGTGTCTCCCCCTGGTGGAGCGCGTTGCTCGGTTTTTCTCCGGTCTCCTGCCGCGCGAAACCAAACTCTCTTGGCCCCAAAAAAAACATCGCCAGTGTAGCAGGGGGCCTCCTGAGCAAGGGGCCTATTGGGACTCGGCGAGTTCTTTGCTGGGTAAGTACAGGGAAGCGTTGTACTGGGGAGGTTGGATTTATTTATTTGGCGATGTCCAAGTGTAACCGCATCTCAGGACGCTTCAACAGAAACGGTGGACGCTTTTATTTTATAGAGAGACAGGCGGTCAGTCATAGGTCTCTGTGAGTCTTCGGGTCTCTATGCGAGTCTTTGGGTCTCTATGTGAGTCTTTGGGTCTCTATGTGAGTCAATACGTCTCTGTGTAAGTCTGTGGGCCTCCATGTGTGCATCTCTATGCGAGTTTAAGGGTCTTTACGTGAGTCTTTGGGTCTCTGTTTGAGTCTGTGGATCTATGTGAGTCTGTACATCTCTATACGAGTTTAAGGGTCTATATGTGAGTCAATACGTATCTGTGTAAGTCTGTGGGCCTCCATGTGAGCCTATGGGTCTCTGAGTGTGCATCTCTATACGAGTTTAAGGGTCTCTATGTGAGTCTATGTGTCTCTCTCTTACACCCCCTTTCTCTCTCCTCCCCTGTCTCTCTCCTCCCCTGTCTCCACCCCACCCATCTCTCTTTCATCACCCTATCCGTCCGAGCCACGTGTCCTTTGATGAAAGGGGCCACCTTTTTATTAACGACAAATTCCGATGATGCTTCCACGCGGTTCTGCCCCCTGGCAACGGATGAACGTGAATTACTCCCTTGACCACAGAGAGAGAGAGAGAGAGACGCAGCAGCAGCAGCGTGCAGCAGCAACGACATCGCCCAGTGCAAGGGGCGATTGCCCTGGCTCTCTCCCTCCCCGTCTCCGCCAGCACTTGTCGTGACGTCACTTAGTCGCTCCGCGTGTTTACCCAGGCCGCCTTGGAACAACGACTCTGCAGATGCGGGACCCGATGGGAGGCAGGCCAGGCTCGGGAGGGCTCATGACGGCCGTGTCGGAGACGCATAGAGAGCTTTGGTTCGAGTCCCGGTTTCAGCCGCTCAATCTCAGCGACTTACGCAGAGACCCACAGCGTCACGTAGAGACCCGCAGAGTCACGCAGAGACCCACAGAGACACACAGAGACACACAGAGACACACAGAGACCCACAGACTCACACAGAGACCCGCAGAGTCGCGCAGAGACCCACAGATTTACTCCCGTGTCTAAACACTCATTAATTGGCTGATAACACCTTCATATATAGGGCTGCACCTTTAGCTGCCATTACTTAACATTTAGGGAAAAGTGACCAGGACTTGTTTGACCCGTTCGGGAAACGTGTTGGCACTCGCATTTGTTTGCTCGGAGCAAGGAGTAAACGCTGACGCGATTGATGCGTTCGTTTTTACATTTTGTTTCCGTGCGTCTCCCCAGCGCCGATGAAGCCTAAAAAGCCGAAACTCCTCAACAAGTTCGACCGCGCGATCAAGGAGGAGCTGGACGCCGCGGAGAAGCTCCGGAAAAAGGTGACCCGCTCCGCTGACGAGGCACTGAATGTCAAAAACCGGTCCCAGAGTTTGCCCGTGCTGAGCCCATCTGCTGACAATACGCGCTCCCAGAAGGAAGGCCGTGGGCGCCGATGGGACACGTCGGAAGAAATGCTAAGCAAGTCTAACTCTCCTCTCACTGTGCACCCAGGGCTCCATGCAGGAGGCACTCCAGGCCTTCACAGAGCTCGTGCAGACCTTCCCCAGCAGTCCACGCGCTCGCTACGGGAAGGCCCAGGTGAGGCCACCCTGACGGTCACCTCCTCGCCGCCAGGCCGAGAGACAGGCTCCATGGCGGTGGTCTTCATCGCAAGGCCTGCGGGGGGTGCACTGTGGCCGGGTGGCAGATTGGCCGTGTGCCACCAGGCTGGGTGCCAGTAGACGTCACCGTTCCTGAGTGGCGGGGTATTAGTATTTGGATTGGTGCCAGCCGTCCATGGCGGGGACCGGCTGGTACCAGGAGCTCTGCGCGGGGTGGCAAGCAGAGGTCGCAAACGGGTTTTGATTCCTTACCCGTACCCGGCTGCACCAGGGTCGCAAACGGGTATCCGTTTGCGACCCTGGTGCGTACGGGTATCGGGTTCCTGATTGCGACCTCTAGGATGAAGCCATGTTGCAGGCGCGGGTGGGTTGATTATAGGAACTTGAATTGTGAGAAGAGACAAGACGTTGGGAATTGAGTGACAAACAGTTACTCACCAGTGACTCACGGCCTACCCATACCCGTACCCGGCCGCACCAGGGTCGCAAGCAGGTACCCGTACCCGTACCCGGCCGGGTACGGGTAGCCAGGTATCGGGTAGGGTACGGGTATCGGGTACCCGGTTGCGACCTCTGGTGGCAAGGCTGAATCTTATACCGTCATGCTCGCCGCCATCCCCCCACCGTCACCCCCCCCCTCCCCACCACGTGGGACAGGCGGAGGACGACCTGGCCGAGAAGCAGCGCAGCAACGAGCAGCTGGCGCGCGCCATCGCGACGTACGCGGAGGTGGCCGACCTCCCCGATGCCCCGGCGGAACTGGTGCAGCTGGCGCTGAAACGGCAGGCGAACCGGCTGCAGTTCCTGGGTGAGTGGGGGACAAGTGGGGGGCGAGCGGATTAGTTTACCGGGGCGGCCGCTGCATCGGAACCAGCGGGGCTCTGCGACGGCGTGCTGGGCGGCTGCGTCGCTCTCAAAAAAATGTAAACACAAAGTGGAACTCGTGGGCTTGGGCCACCGCTGTTATTCATCGTAAAGGTCAGATCCATGTAGATGCAGATGTGTCGGTAACCCACCACCACAACTCCGACGACGCTGGTCGTGGTGATCGCCAGCGATAATCGTCGTTGACTCAAATTGTATGGGTGTTTACTCTCCAACACACAAGCGGTCCGTGCTTAATCAGTAGCTTCTTGGCACGCTTTGTTCACGTGAAAAACTACTGGCTGTGTCGGGCGGAGATGGGCTATGGACACATTTACGCAATCTGACCCAAAAACCTTTATTGTGATTATTTATTTTTACCAAGAAAAAGCCACTGAGCTAAGAGCTCTTTTTCAGAGGCACACGTGATGATAGGTCATCATCGAGGGGCCTTGTATCATCATCATCGTCACATGTGGGCATTATTAGTAGCAGCCAGATCATCTAAATGCGCGTTGTCTCTAAATGTGTAGGAGGGGGGGTTGGGGGCAAAACCGGTGGAGGAACCCGGAGAAAAATCCACGCTGCGACCACCAAGGGGAGAGAAAGAGAACACGCGGACTCCAAATATTATACCAAACTATTTAACTAAACATTTTTATTTATTTTACCAGATTGAGGTCCACTGGGCTATTTAGCTGTTTTTTCGGAAGTCACTTGGCCACAAATGATAGCCCAACGAGAAGTGGCTTATCATCATCGTGTGGAAAATAAGCCCTCGACACGTGACGTTGATTGTAAACGTGGAGAGAAAAACCACGCGACCACGGGGAGAGAGAGAGAGACGCGCAAACCCCAAATACACAAACGGGCATCGCCAGGGTCCGGGATCGAACCCACGTGCCGTCCTGTGTAACGGGCGAAGGGGAGGGGCGACACTCGTTCTGTTGGACGGTGCCACTCCCATCGCCACCGCCAGCACCCACAACGTCTGTGGCCACCGCAGCCCAATTTGTCCACTTTCCCGCGGCCCTCGTCCGTGCCCTTTGTGCCACGCGGCCGCTGTTTCTCGAGTGATGTCAACTGAATTGCCACTCGTGAATCGCCTGATTTGGGCGCGGCACGAAGGCAAAGGTCTCCCCCCCCACCCCCCCCCACGGCACCGCACCCGCAGTGGAGCCCACGCAGGCTGTTGGGGCAAGCGCTGTTAGCGAGCGCTTGTGAAGGCCGGCACGGCGTACCTAATGAGGGGCGAGGTGGCGCGTGAGCGCCACGCCCGGCCGTCTTTGTCTCCCCGGTGCTGATGACGATGTTTGCAGGAGGCACCGAGGTGCAGCGTACTCATTTGAGGCCCAGTCGACCTAGACGAGGCCCAGGACCGGTGCAGATAATGGTCATTGATGGTGGCCGTGAGCAGGAATCGAACTCGGGCTGCGTGCCGACCGCTGCACTGCAGCTCCCCACGCACAAAACAAAGACACAATCCCCCATATAGCCTTAACAGACTGTTGGGGCAAGTGCTGTTAGTGAGCACTTATGAAGGCTGGAACGGTACACGAGGGGGTGGATAAACAACACCCCACGCCTGGCCGCCTTTGTCTCCCCAGTGGTGATGTTTACACACCGCACCAGGTAGTCATTTGAGGCCGAGTCGACACATTGACACACACACACACGTAAGTACATTCACACATACGCGTATGTACACACACACACACGTATGTACACACACACACGTATGTACACACACACACGCGTATGTACACACACACACGTATGTACACACGTGTGCATACACACACACGTATGCACACACACACACACGTATGCACACACACACACGTATGTACACACACACGTATGTACACACACATGTACACACACACGTATGTACACACACGCGCGAGCACAAAGTAATGTTGCCCAACAGGCGCCGTGCGAAATGTCACCTAGTCGCTTGAGAGAACGCGAATCGTAAGCGGATTCCGCAGGGGTGGCGTGACAGCGGCAACGAGCCGAGCGAGTCTCAAGGCGTCCTCTTGAGGAGGGTCCCGTATGGGACTTGTTTACTTTGGTAACACGAAGATGCTTTCAGCCGATGGAGCGACCGGTCATGCGCACGGGAGGGGAAAACCCGGAGCGCCCCGAGAAAACCCACAGCGCGTGAGCTTAGCGGGGGAGGGCAACGCTCTATCCCGGTACAGATGGAACAGCTGGAGACTAAATTTCGATTTAAAGCTTTCGTGACTGCAGGGATTCATCTTCTTGGTTCTTTCGGTAAAGTCACGTAGAATGGAAATAATAAAATAATAAAGTAAAACATAATAAAATAATTCTCACGACGTTTCGGCCACAACGCAAGCAGCCGTCCTCAGGTGAAGACCAGGTCTGTCGGGAGACAGCGTCTCCCCGACAGTCGTGAGAATTATTTTATTATGTTTTATTTTATTATTTTCATTCTACGTGACTTTACCGAAAGAACTAAGAAGCTGGAGACTAGTCCGACTCAGGTCTACGGCGACCTGCTACGCCCCCCGCCGTGTAAACCTCGCGCGATACGGCCAGCGCAGCTCATGTTCGGGACGCATCCCCGAGTCGGAGTGAGTTCTGCAACGGACTCAACACGGTGTTGTTGTTCCGGAGAGCCGACTTCAGTGTGCGACCAGCGCGCATTCGTCACGGACTGGACTCATACGAGTGCTCGTTAACAAACTTTCTTACTTTGCTGTAGCGCCTTCACCTGGCGAGCCAGGGGATACGGCTCCTTCTCCTCCTCCTCCTCGACGCCCAACGAGTGAAGGGAGTTTCGTACCCACCGCCCGCTGGTACATAATTGCCGGGCCCGGCTGTGGCTGCTGCTGCTGCTGCAGTATTGTACCTCGGGGCGTGCGCTCACCCCACGCCCGATCTTGCTCAAGGGGCACGCTGACATTTTCAAGTGGACAGGGTGGTCGGTCACCGACGTCGTCACCGCCACGGACCGATTGCTCAACTTGTTATTGTCGTCGGGGACTTTATTTTTTTTTTGCGAACATTTACTCTCGGAGCGTCTCTCTTTTGTTATTTTGACGAGTCGTGCAATTCAGCTCCTGCCGCCTCTATTTTTCGGACGTGGGGTGGAGGGGGGCAGTGGTGGGGGTTGGGCAATGGGGGGCGTGGGGGGTAAAGAGGGGGAGGGGGCAAGCCAGGTGGGGGGGGGGGGGAAATGGATGGACTGAGCGTCGTCGGAGTAGAAAGCTCAGGAAGGGTTTGTTCTCCATGGAGATGGAGCGATGGAATCGGGATCTAGCGGGGGAAGGCGGTGCGATGGCTTGGGGGAGAGAGGCCTTCATCCAGCAGTGGATAGACCATGCTTCATGATGGGTACGGTGGATAGATGATGATTATGCTGATGAAGATGGAGCTCCCTCCGTTGCGAAGATGACGTCGCCTCACCCTGCTGATGAGTCTCGGAGAAGTCAAAACCAGTCCAGCGCCTTAGCTGCGTGAACAAATTCTGCTGGAGAAGATTACCGGACATCTGTGAAAAAAAGCTTCATAGCTCATCGGATTCCTCCGGAATAAAATACATTCTCTGATTACTGCAGCGGGAGGCCCTACGCTGCTCGACGTACAAATTGAACTCTCGCTTAAAGCGGGGGAGAGAAGAAAGGGGGAGAGACAGAGGGAGAGGAAGAGAGGGGGGGAGTGGGGAGAAGGCAGAGAGTTAGCAAAAGAGACGCTAAAATTGGCCAGACATCCCAGTGTAGCAGGACCTGGACTGACCCATAGAGGCAGCAGTCCATGGGGCAAATTCCCGGTGGGCCAGTCCATTCCGAGTAGCCGTGGGAGCCGGTCTGCCGTGGGGAAATTGCAAATGTGATCAGAGTGAAAAAAGTACAAATATTTGTATTTTTATGAAAATATTTTCATGACCTCTGTGTACGCTTGATTGCTTATTTACGCTCTCAGCTGGCATTGAGTCCACACACATATTCGACAGCCCCCAAAGAGTCTTCCTCACCCTGCCCCCCCCCATTTGTCTTTTTGGACCCTGTCTTTTTGGACCCAATATGGGCCAATGAGACGCTAAGACGTTGCATCGCAGATAGAACGACTCGTACTTACGCCGTTTGTCATCTCCGCAACAACTGTTTAAAAATGAAAAAATCACAAAACGGTTGCCCCCATAGCCCAAATTTTGGGCCCGGCGCGTTGAAAAATGCCTGCGATGATTTTTGTTGCCCGCGGTCGGTCACTGCGGTGCAAAGCAGCGACCTCTTGACAACGAGTCTTGAGACTCTTTTTCCCCCTCGACAAGTAAACGGCATCATTAGACCTCCTTTGCCAGTACCAAAATATAATAATAGGGTTTTCCCCCTTTTGTCTGGAGGTCTAATGATGTAGATGCTCACCCCGAGACCTCATTACTTTGATGGTGCAGTGTCTTTGAGCTGTACGCCTTTTGGCGTCCTCTGGTCGAGCACCAATTGGGTCGAGGCTCAAAAGAAAGCCGTCCCTTGGTGTGGACCAATCAGTTTCAAGGACAATGCATATATTATCAGAGTGTGTTTTTAATTTGCATTTTGACTGCAAGTATTGTGGTTAATGCAGACATGAATCCTTGTAAAAAGGTTTTCTGTTTTGTTGCCAGAAAAAAGGGCAACACCCCTATTATATAATTATTATTTTAAGCAAACGGCACTACCAGCAGCAGTGAAATTCTTATTTAGTTTATTACATTTTGTTGTGAGTCAACCACACCCCCACATACCCTCGGTGTTATTACGCCTCTGCTCTTTCAAGGTTTGGGCTCTCATCCGGTAGGCATTCGTTTTGCCAAATGTCAGCCCCCCCCCCGCCTCCCCCCCCCCGTGACAATGATTGATGTTTGCTTAGTTCGTCCGATTTGCATTGGTGAATTGTGATCGCTCACTTGCCGTGAAGTCACACGGCTCCACTGCCGATGAGTCATGTTTCTGTTCTGCATTGCAACTAAAATAAGTTTTATTTCGGAATGGAAACGGCAAGTTCTCTTTGTGATCGTCAGCGGAGCGCGAGGCGGGTGGGTGGGGGGGTAGCAACGGTCTGTCCCCGTACAGATGGAACAGATGGAGATTAGTCCACACCTTTTGCTGTATCACCTTCTCTTATGTATGTATGAATGTTGAACTTCTTTTGCACCCTACGTAGCCAACCGTGCTCATCGGAGGTGCGGGGGAAGGACAACAAACTGAACACACAGCAGTTATGAATCGAGATTTAAAAGTGCAGTGCTCCGGTGGATCACGGCTCACCCTCGACACCCACGGGAAAGGAGCTTCGATTCTCACTCGCAGCCAACACCGGCGACGAACATTTGAACTGGGCCGGAGGCTGGGCCTCCGCTAGGTCGACTCAGCCTCAAATGAGTACCTGATGTGGCATGTAAACGTCGGCGTTGGGGAGACAAAGGTGGCCAGGCGCGGTCCTGGCCACCCACCCCCTCGTGCGCCGTGCCGGCCTTCATAGGCGCTGCTCGCTATGTACGTACTTGCGTATGTTGAACTTAGTTCTCACCCTACGTAGCCAACCGCGCGAATAGGAAGTGCGGGGAAGGACAGCAAACCTTAACAGCACTTGCCCTGACATTCCGGGTGACCTTTGTCTTTGTAACCCCCCACCACCGTTCCCCTGCAGGCCGCATGCGCGCGGCCGTGGCGGTGCTGAGGAAGCTGGTGCAGCGGTACCCGGCCGACGTGGCGCTGCAGAACGAGCTGGGGGTCGCGCTGCTCCTGCAGGGAGACAACAAGGGGGCAAAGGTCGTCTACGAGGAGGTCAGCAGGTCACGGCCGCCACAACCCTCCACACCACTCCCCCGCCTCTTCCTCCTCCACCTCCTCTGTCCTCTTTCGTGCGTGACGAGCTTGCACCGTGTGTACGTGTGTGCATCACGTACGCACACACGGTGCGCGGTTTGCGCACTGCGTTGCGAACCCGGTGGCCCGAGTTCGATTCCCGCTCGCGGCCAAAACCGGTGACGATTATCCGAACCAGTCATGGGCTTCCCCTAAGTCGACTCAGCCTAAAAATGAGCGGCTGGTGCGGTGGTTAAAAACATCGTTACTGGGGAGACAAAGGCGGTCGGGCGTGGTCCTGGCCACCCACCCACCTCGTGTGCCATGCCGGCAGTCTGTTAAGACTATGCGGGGGATCTTTGTCTTTGTAGGTTCTGGCCAGATCGCCGGACGATGGATTTGCGAAGGTGCACTTTGGGTTCATCCTGAAGGCGGAGAACAAGATCGCTGAGAGCATCCCCTTCTTGCGGGTGAGTCTCGCGCACACACTCGCACACTCGCACACACACACACTCGCACACACACACTCGTGTACACACACACGCACACACACTCGCGCACACTCGCACACACACACGCACAGACACTCGCGTGCACACGCACACACGCACGCACACACACACTCGCGCACATACACACATATGCACACACACACATGCACACACGTACACACACACATGCACACACGAACACCGATTGCTCGATTAACTGATTAATTGATTGTGCACTTGTATGGATGTGCGATTATGTAGTTACATGAATGTGTAGTTGTATTACTGTGGTTGTGTGGTGGTGTGGTGCTGCGGTTTCCAGGCAGGTCTGGAGTCCGAGGCCCCAGGAACGAACGACGGCCGCTTCTACTTCCACCTGGGAGACGCTCTGCAGCGCATGGGGGAGCGTGACGAGGTGGGGGAGGGTGCACCCACAAACACAAAGACAAAGATCCCCCACCCCGTCTGACCTTAACACGCCGTTGAGGCAAGTGCACCGTGCCGGTTGGGGGTGCTGAGCGAGCGGAGCTTCGCTGAGCCGGCCGCTTCCCGAGCAGTGCGGCGCCATCGTCCTAAGCACCTCGTACGGCTCCCTCCCCTCCTGGCATCCTCCATCCCTTCCTCATGCTCTATCCTCCCTCACTCCTTTTTTTTTTTTAACGATCAGACGAGAAAGATGCTCGGTCTTTCGGCACTTTGCTTCGTTCATCATGTCGTTTGTTTGTATTTTTTTTGTTTGCTTATGTGCTCCCTTTTTTAATCAAAGCTATAACGCGGGTTTCCCATGTAACATTAGTCCCATTGTGTGTCACTGTGTTCATAGACACCAACAAGAAACACAAATCGCCCTCAACAACCCATCACCAGATCCCCTGCTGCTGCGCTACCAGCACCATAGCGGCGAAGGCACCTGCCTGACCTCCCTCCCCTCCCCTCCCCTCCCTCCCTCCCTCCCTCCCTCCCTCCCTCCACTCCCGTCCCTCCCCTCCCTCCCTCCCTCCCTCCCTCCCTCCCTCTCTCCCTCCCTCCCTCCCTCCCTCCCTCCCTCCTTCTCCTTCCTCCCCTTCCCCTCCTCATCATCTGTACTCTATCCTCCTTCACCCTCCTTTATCCTTCCTCCCCCCCCCCAGGCGTACCGCTGGTATGCGCAGGGCCACGAGCAGGGCCACTTCTCCTCCGTGTTCCAGCGCTCGCTCTACAACGTGCGCGGCCTCAAGGCCCAGCCGTGGTGGACCCCGCACGAGACGGGCTACACGGAGCTCGTCAAGGTGGCCGCACCGCACCGCTCGCTCGCTCGCCCGCACGCTTACTCGCCCCCTCGCTCGCTCGCCCAAACATTCGCTCACTCGCTCACTCGCTTGCTCGCTCAATCGCTCACACACTCGCTCACCCGCTCCTTCACTCACTCGCTCACTCACTCGCACTCGCTCGCCCCCTCGCTCGCTCGCCCAAACATTCGCTCACTCGCTCACTCGCTTGCTCGCTCAATCGCTCACACACTCGCTCACCCGCTCCTTCACTCACTCGCTCACTCGCTCGCACTCGCTCGCCCCCTCGCTCGCTCGCCCAAACATTCACTCAATCGCTCGCTCACTCGCTCACTCACTTCCTCACTCGCTCGATCACTTGATTGATCACTCACGCACTCACTTTGTGTGAGTCTATCGGGCTCTGTTTGAGTCTATGGGGCTCTGTGTGAGTCTATGGGTCTCTCTGTGAGTCTATGGGTCTCTATGTGAGTCTGTGGGTCTCTGTGTGAGTCTATGGGTCTCTGTGTGAGTCTGTGGGTCTCTGTGTGAGTCTATGGGTCTCTGTGTGAGTCTATGGGTCTCTGTGTGAGTCTATGGGTCTCTATGTGAGTCTGTGGGTCTCTGTGTGAGTCTATGGGTCTCTGTGTGAGTCTATGGGTCTCTGTGTGAGTCTATGGAGCTCTGTGTGAGTCTATGGGTCTCTGTGTGAGTCTATGGGTCTCTGTGTGAGTCTATGGGTCTCTGTGTGAGTCTATGGGTCTCTGTGTGAGTCTATGGGTCTCTGTGTGAGTCTATGGGTCTATGTGTGAGTCTATGGGTCTCTGTGTGAGTCTGTGGGGCTCTGTGTGATCCCCAGAGAGCTCCAGGTCATGGGGCCAGCAGAGGAGAATGAAAAACGTAACCTTAAAAGGACAGAAATATTAAATACATACTTTTTTACGCTAATTAAAGAGCACACGGAGTTGCTGCTTCAGAAACAGGTTAAGCATCATTTCTCTCTCTTGCTCCCTGTAATTCTCTCTGCGTATTTCTGTTTCTCCATGTCTCTGTGTCTCTATCTTTGTGCGTCTCTGATTCTCACTCCATCTGTTGTTCTCCATCTCTCTGGCTTTCTGCCACGTCTCTCTGGAGTTTTCTGTTGGCACTCAATCTGCCTCCATCTCTCGGGGTTATCGTAAAAGGTCACAGAGCAGTCGTTGGTCGTGGGTCACCGCTCGGGACACAGCGCTGCACCGCTGGCAGGGCTCGTGCCGCGTACATCCACGCGGGCTGCGATTTCCCAACCTCCCCACCGCTCCCGGCACGGTCACCGCCACGCCCGGTGATCGCCACGCCGGGTGATCGCCAGGGGATGGGCAACACAGCAACGGACGTGGCCCGCCGCGGTCCGTTTACGGCGATCGGATCCGCCCGTGGATGGAATGCAGCCCAGTGCCACCCCCGTACCACCTGTAGAGTGCACACGTCCAATTATACACTGGTCAACACACTTTTTCTGGCATAAGGTATTCCAACGGTTTTAAGGTGATTCCAAATCTGGCATCAGTTTTTGTCTATCACATCAGGTTTTTGAGATATAAAATATTGCATTTTCAATAAAAACTGCAGAAGAAAAATATTAAATGTGGATAGCTACATAAAATGATATTATAAACACACTATCCTAAAAATACAGCACCATATTTTAACACTAAAGCAGTCACTGACTCGCAACAACTTGCAATCATAAGTGACAGAGTTAATTTCGGGTAAAATCAATAAAAATGGGGTATGCCGATAGCATAAAAATGAGATGTGATAGAGCAAATCTGATTTGGAATCAGCACCCTGAAATTGGTTTAAAACAGCTGCAAAAGTCCAGGCCAGAAAAAAATGTGTTTTTTTGTTCAGTGTTATTCACCCGGTTCCCACCTCTTTCCCTCGATCGCACACGGGGGTGAGGCGACTGGAGTCATCGTTTTCGTGTCTCCCTCGAATGGGGAGCCGGGGGGGGTGTAGACATTGCGGGGGGCAGTGCGTGACCCCCCCCCCCACCCTTGGCCCCTACCCCCACGCGGTGCCCCCCCACCCCCCATCCCAGGCGCTGGAGCGTGGCTGGCGGAGCATCCGGGACGAGGCGCTGGCTGCGATGGACGTCCAGAGCGGCTTCTTCCTCCCCGAGGAGGAGAATCTGCGCGAGAAGGGCGACTGGGCCCAGTTCACGCTGTGGCAGCAAGGTGAGTGAGCCCGCACGCACGCTCACCAACTCACCAGTTCACCCGCTCACCCACTCACCAGTTCACCCACTCACCCACTTACCAGTTCACCCGCTCACTCACTCACCAGTTCACCCGCTCACCCACTCACCAGTTCACCCGCTCGCCCGTTCACCCGCCCGCCTGCGTGCGTGTGTGCGTGCACGTGTGTGCGGTAGTGTAGCGGTTAGCACGCTGCGCTATGAACCTGGCGACCCGAGTTCGATTCCCGCTCACGGCCAACACCAGTGACGATTATTTGAACCAGTCCTGGGCCTCCGCTCGGTCAACTCAAGCCTGAAATGAGTACCTGGTGCGGTGTGTAAACATCGCCACTGGGGAGACATAGGCGGTCGGGCGTGGTGCTGGCCACCCACCCCCTCGTGTACCGTTCTGGCCTTCATAGGCGCTCGCTAACAGCACTTGCCCCTACAGTGTGTGAAGGCTATACAGGGGATCTTTGTCTTTGTGCGTGGGCGCAGGCCGGAAGAGCGAGAGCGGCTGCGGGAGGGCGCCCACCACGTGTTCCATCATGGAGCGCTTCCCCGAGTCCACGGGCTGCACACGCGGCCAGGTGAGGAGCCGGCTCCGCCTCGCCCCTCCGCTGCTGCCACGGGCTGTCGCATGTCGCGTGTCAAATATCGTGCGTTGTACCTCGTGCGCCGTATCACGCTTCGCACGTTGCGTGTCCCGTGTCGTGTGTTACATGTCACGCGTCATGCGTTGTGTGTCGCGCAGGTGAAGTTCTCCGTCATGCACCCGGGCACACACGTGTGGCCGCACACGGGGCCCACGAACTGCCGCCTGCGGCTCCACCTGGGCCTCGTGATCCCCACGCCAGGGTGCCGCATCCGCTGTGCCAACGACACGCGGTGACCGCACGCACGCACGCGCACACGCGTACACGCACACGCGTACACACGCACACGCACACACGCGTACACGCACACGTACAAACGTACACACGCGTACACGCACACACACCCGCGCATGTGTTAACCTGCGTGTTGTTACCCCACGTGTTGCTGTTACCCCGCGTAGCGAGTGGCAGGAGGGCAAGGTGCTGATCTTCGACGACTCGTTTGAGCACGAGGTGTGGCAGGACGCCGACCGCGCCCGCCTCATCTTCATCGTCGACGTGTGGCACCCGCAGCTCACCGCACACCAGCGGCGCACCCTCTCGCCCATCTGAGCCGGCCACACCACCGCACCCGCGGTGCTGGTGGTGGTTTGGTGCCGGCCGAACCGTTGTGGGTGGTTGGCCTCGGACGCACCGTGGCGGTGGTGGTTGGTCCCAGCCACGCCACAGATGGTTGGCCCAGCCACACCGCATGGTTAAACGGGTACCAGACACACCACGGTCATAGTTCGTGTCTGCCACACCACAGATTATTGGACCCGGCCACACCGCATGGGTTGATTGGTACCGTACACACAACGGTGATGGTCGGATTTCATCGACATCACATGGGTGATTGAGCTTTCTTCCGGCCACACCACGTTGGTAATTGGTTCCGTTCACACCGCAGTGGTGGCTGATTCCTACCCGAACACACACACAGATCTACACCAGTGAGTTATGCTCCCGAGATACGACACAGCGCCGAGACTGAACTACCGAGCCACTCTACCCAAATCGACTACGAGTGTGGTGTACGCACGCACGCGCGCACACGCACGGCCTTCGCGAAAACCAACCCCCGCCGTCCGTACCCTCTCGCCGCGCGACGGGTTCCCGTCATTTGTATTGTCGCCGACGACATCGTCCCGTTTTGGCACGCGGTGGTGACGTCACGAGATGCAAACAAGCCCCGCGTGACAGGTTTCGTCCAATCATGGCCGGGCCTCGCCGCCACGGTGGCGTGACGGCCAATCACAGCAGCCCGGCCCCCGACGCAGCGCTGGGAGTGGTCGTGATCGTTGTTATGATTGTTATTATTGTCGTCGTCAACAAACGTTCGATTCTTATTGTTAAATACTCATACGCGATGGTCGGTTATTTAAGGGTTGACGCAAGTTTGACGCAGTCGCTTTTTGTTGGTTTTGTTTACGGTGACGCGGTGGGGTGCGTGCTGGAGTACGGTTGCTTCACCACACCTCACCATACTTCACCATACTTCACCACACTTCACCACGCCAGTCTGTGCGAGCTGGTGAGGGTGGTGAAAAGGGTAGGGGGCGGTGGGTGGTGGGCCGAGGACCGGTTAAGATTTTTACGACCTGCGCCACCGATGTCAGCCGTGGGCATTCGTCAAAGCTCTTCGTTTTGAGGCCGAGTCGACCTAGGGGAAGCCCAGTACCGGTTCCTGGTTGCACCTCGCCACCGATTTCAGCCGGGGCCGCAGAGTCAAACTCGGTTGTCGCCGGGTGGCATATCGCATTGCGCCAACCACCGCACCACCGCTCCTCTTCTACGCACGATTAGCCGAACTAATATTCCGCGCGTCCGATTCTCACGGTCGGCTACGTACGGCGCGAAATAAGTTCACCACACGTAGGTGCGCACGTGTGCACGTGGGTGCGCGCGCATGGGTTTTCGTCCCGATGTACGTGTTTACAAGGCTTTCGTGTTGTCGTCAGAGCCAAGTGGGCGACGTCGATTATTTGGCGACGGGGCCGTTGCCGTCGCTTCTCGTAGCCCGCGGCGACCCCGAGCGGACGAAGCCCCAGCAGGGAGCGCCGCGGGCGACGATTGGCGTTACCGGGTCGGGTGGCCAAGGAGGGGACCAGAGTCGAGGAGGCCTCATCTACAACGGTGACCTTGGGGGGTGGGGGGGGGGCATCGCTGTGCTGCCAGTAGTAGCGGGGGTGCGACGATGATTGCCCGATGTGCGCTCGTGATTGCCAATCGAGTTGGCGCGGCGGTGCTCTTTCTCACGTGCCAAATACGCAGCCGCGACGCCGGCACCGCAGCGGCGGCAGCGTGCTCCTGCCGACGACGTCGCGGGGATCTTCGACGTCCACTTTCGTCGAGCAGAACAACAGAAGGACCGACGTACGACTGCCGACTGCGTTCGCGTCGCTGTGGATCAAGCTGCTGCTCTCGCCATTTGCCTGGGTCGTGGTTGCGGTGTAGCGGTGAGCGTGGTCGGGTAGCGGTGAGCGTGGTCGTGTGGCGTTTAGCGTGCTCCGCTACGAACCCGACGACCCAGTGTTCGATTCCCGCTCACGGCCAACACCAGTGACGATTATCTGGACCAATCCTGGGCCCAATAGTCTTTTACAGGCTTTGCCGGGGGGTCTTTGGTATTTGGTAAGCGGTGGGCAGAGGTCACACGGTTGGTGGTCGGCGGTCGATGTGAAGGTCAAAAGTGCCAAAATAAAGCGAGGAGGTGTGGCGCGTGTTTGGCAGTGGCGTCGTCAGCAATGAATGATTTTGTTGTAGTTGAGAACGGCCTGTGGAAGTGGATATCACAGAGCTATTTACGAGGTACCTCTGGTCCACTCGGAACGGCCCACGGAAGTGGATATCACGGAGTTACAGTCCGGTCCACAGCGTGGCAACTCACCCGACACGTTCTTTAATTCAACCGAAGTGCAATTTAGCCAAATGAGAAGTTCCGTTCTGTCGAGCAGTGCATTGGCCAAGGCCACAAGGGGGGAGCATGGCGGGCTGGAGAAGGGCGTGGTGCAGGAGAGACGGAGCATAGAAAAGTTCAGTCCAACATTGGACTTTACTGCACCCGACAGCATTCCGACGACGTAATTCAAACGTACCACACAAACTCCTCTTTGTACCCGTTTATTCATTTCATCACGACAATTGCACAAACAATGCTACTAAAGACACCACCGTCACAAACGATAATCGTACATTGTGATACGATATTTTAATATACTATGTTTAAAACAAGTTTGCCTGGAGGGAGGGATGCACGGTTACGTCCACAGGACGTGCATTTTCTGTTTATTATATCTAAAAAGATTTACTCTTGGCCTGGCCTCGTGCGCAGGCGTGACGACAAACCCACGGCGGTGACGTCACAGCGCACGTGCGCTGTGACGTCACAGCGCACGTGCGCTGTGACGTCACAGCGCACGTGCGCGCGATGACGCCGTCCCAGCAGCAGCATTCGATCTGCCGGGTTCGTGCATCGTGCCGACGTCCACCCATGCACACCACTACCACCACCTCCCCCTCGAACCCCACCGGCCCCAACGCCACGGCCGTCTATCCCCCGCATACGCGCGGCGAGTGCGGGCCGCAATCGCGCGCGGCGGAGACCTCGCTCGACGCGGCGGCAAGTCGATGTGTTCCCGAAGAACGCGAGAACAGGACGCAACGACGACGCATGCCTCGCACGCGAGGTGGCGGGGCGGATGACCGCAGCGTTACTCGCGTCACTGCCGCGCAGTTCAAGAGTAGCTCGTCATCGAACGCTCAGAAAACGCGTCGTAACAATACAGGTCGTTCCCGAATTACGATATTTCGATCTTACGATGGCGATATCGATACGACAAAATTGTTAAATGTTTTACATCTCGCGTGGCAGACAAACGCAGCAGCGTACGAGGTACGATGCTGTAGGTTGGGACGCTGCCGTGATGTTCCTGAACGCATCTCCCGCCTTGTGTGGTGATGCCTCCCACTCTCACCAGCGGTGGACGGAGTTAAGTTGTCTCGGTGTTAGTGCGAATCTTGGTGAGTACAGTACAATATGATACGTTACGATACGGCCAATGCGTGTGTAATACGTAGCTTTAGCGATTTCATTTTAAGGTTACCACGATACGATACGTTCAATGCATGTTGAAAGTTTTTTTTTATAGCAGATAGGATTGTTTCCTGAAAAAACTTTCGATGAAATTGCAGTTCATATAGGTAGGCTAAGAATTTACCTTGTTTTTTACTTAAAAATTTACTGTGCAATACAGTATTGTAATTAATAAATACATACGGTATATAGTTTATACAGTACGGTACTGTAAATGTCTCTTTTGCTAAATTATCACCATTCTTTAAGACTCCTGGGCAGGCGAGGCCATCTTCGACTTACGATATTTTCCACTTACGATGGGGTCGTCGTAACGCATCTCCATCGCAAGTCGGGGACTACCTGTACAAATACCGCGTCGTAACACCGCCACGCGTTCACAAGGGAGAGGCGTAGCTCGCTCTGCACGCACGGCGACTCCACGCGGGCAATGAGGAGCCGCTACCCCCCCCTCCCCCAGACGTCACCGATTCGGCGACGGGAATTTTGTCTCCGTCTCTCCCGGAGGTGCGCGAGAAGGGCACCGCGGAAGTGGACATGTCAGAGCTGCCTCGTATATTACAGCGACACGCACACACAGCCATTTCCCCACCTGATCTGCCCAACCAAAGTCATAATGCTCGTCGCAAGACGGGAAAACTGATAATATTTTAAATTCATAAAGCTACGCCATCACCTCACTACACTTGAGAACCACGTTTCATCCTAACACAGCCCACGTGAGTCTGTGGGTCTCCCTGAGTTTCTCTGTGAGTCTGGGCCTCTATGTGAGTCTACGGCTCTCTATGCGAGTATGGGTCTCTATGTGAGTCTATGGGTCTCTGTGCGAGTTTATGGGTCTCTGTGCGAGTCTACGGGTCTCTATGTGAGTCTATGGGTCTCTGTGCGAGTCTATGGGTCTCTGTGCGAGTCTACGCGTCTCTATGTGAGTCTATGGGTCTCTGTGCGAGTCTATGGGTCTCTGTGCGAGTCTGTCTATTGGACTCTATGTGAGTCTATGGGTCTCTATGCGAGTATGTGTCTCTACGTGAGTCTGTCTATTGGACTCTACGTGAGTCTATGGGTCTCTGTGCGAGTTTATGGGTCTCTGTGCGAGTCTACGGGTCTCTATGTGAGTCTATGGGTCTCTGTGTGAGTCTATGGGTCTGTGTGAGTCTATGGGTCTCTGTGCGAGTCTATGGGTCTCTGTGTGAGTCTATGGGTCTGTGTGAGTCTATGGCTCTCTGTGCGAGTCACTGGTGACCGTGCCGAGCCGTCACCTCGCTACGCTAGAGAACCCCCGGGGGACGATCGCTGCGCGCCTTGGCGTCCGAAACCTGGACTCGAACCCAGGCTCTCAAAGTTGCCGGGCTCGGCGTCTCTGACTCTTGAGCCACACGGTCACCTCTCTTATTGTTAACATATACACTACTCGCTTTACTAGCCGGCTTCGCCCGAGACTTGGATTCTTATCTTGGATTAATACACGGCCTACGCGGAGGGTGGAGGGGGGGGGCGTGACGTCAGCAGGCACACAGCGTGACGCTACCGCATGCAGGTGACATCACAGATGTGACGTCACCGCTCACTTGCCGTGCAAAATAGATCCATTATTGTGCCCCCCCCCCCCCAAAACAAATACAAAAGTAAATGTTTATACTTTTTGCATTGTGTACAGTCTGGAAGCTGCCCACATGCCAAATGTCAAGTTTGTTGCATGTCAGGAAGTATGCTAAACATTTCGAACAGACACACATTCACAAATTTCCCTTTTATATATCTATAGATATACACGACAGGACGGTACCCGTGGCTATAGCAGCCACTAGCGTCTGCAGGGGTCACGTGAGCCCACTGCAGGCAACAAGAGGCATGGCAAGCGGCGGTGCATATCGCGAGGGTGACGAGGCAGGGTACACAAACACACAACCCTCACCCCCCCTCCCTGCCGACACTGAGGCCCTTCCTTTTATTCTCGCTAAATATCCTCCCGCTTCCTGGTCAGAGGGCGCGATGGCAGCCCGTGACTTGCGCAGCCATGGGCGGTAGCGGGATGAGGAATACTGGAGGTGGTATGCCGGGTTGAGAAGTATTTTATTTAGAGTCTCTGACCCGCCTGGATGTAGTTCGCGACGCCCGCGACCACCTGCCAGGCGGTGGGACTTGCCGTCGTGGTCCTTGCCCCGCAACTCCCGATGAGCGCGGTTGACCACGTGCGGTGCGGACGAAGTTAAACGCACACAAAGATCTCCCGTGTAGCCTTAACAAACTGTAGGGGCAAGTGCTGTTAACGCACACACACGCACGTGCGCGTGCGCAGACACGTGGAAGGACGATGCCGACCACGAGACGCCGTTGACGCCGAGCCCAAGGTCTTCTTCTTCGGCAGCGCGGCAAACGACCGTTGACCTGGCGGGGACGTTCTCGTGCTGTCCGTGACATCGTCGGCACCATCGTCCACCATCGCCACCAAAGGCAAAGGTCCCCCCCACCGCGACCCCGGTATAGCCTCAACAGACAAGTTCGGGGCAAGTGCGGCGAGCGTCGTGACTTACGAAGCCAGGGCGCGCTCAGGGAAGTTGAGACTCAAGCGGTCAAATGACGAGACTCAGGGAGACCCTTCAGCGAGCCGACTTGCCGGTCGTTGTTGTGGTGGTGGCGGTGGTTGTTTCGGTTGCCGTGGTGCTGGAGATCCACTGGGTGAAGGCCGACACGCGTGCGTACACGCCGAGGAATTCCCTGCTGCCGCAATCTTTGCCAAAGCTCGTGACGCCCTCGAGCACCCAGCGGCCGGGCGACGGCTCCGTGTCCCCCGCCAAGCGCACCAGCGGGCCCCCCGAGTCGCCCTGTGATGTGGACCGCAAGAGGTGGCGGAGAACGGTCAAGAGCAGAAGTCGCGTGGCGCAAGACAGGGGCTTGAGGACACTCAGAGGTGGAGATGACAGGGGAGAAATTCGGGGGCGATGGCGGGGGGCCACGTGCAAGTCACGTGATTTACGGGAGGATGGAACTCGTTTAGAGATTAATAAATATGAGAGCAAGAGGGATTCAGAGCCGTGGGGGGGGGGGGGGGGGCACGGCTGTCACGTGATTCAATGGAGGTTCGAGCTGATCCAGGTGAGGTGATGAGGTTTGCTCCCATGGATTCGCGACGCTCACCTGGCAGGTGTCCGCGTGGGTGGAGACGTCCGCGGCGCACATCATGCTCGGCTTGAGCGGATGGCCGTTGTTCGTCGGTGTGCAATCATCGTCCTTCATGATGGTCAACTGCGCTTCGCGGAGATCCAATTGTTTGGTTGTGTCTGGAGATGCGAGAGTGCAAGAGACGATGCGAGTCTTAGATCATCATCATCATTGCTGTTATCATCATCGGCGTCGCCGCCACTGTCATGGTATAGTTATGCGGTAAGCGACTTCAACTCATCAGTTAAAGTCATCACTGTAGTTATGCGGTAAGCGCACTAAAAATTATAAACTAATTTTATATTTTACCACGTAAGGCCCATTGAGCTATGTAGCTCTTCTTCAGGAGCGACCGAGCTATCACAAATGATAGCTCAACGAAGTGGCTTATCATGGGGACATTTATAGATGTAGCCAAATAATCGGAATGTGCGAAGTTGATTCAAAATTTGGAGGGAAACACCGGAGGACCCGGGGAAAAATCCACGCGACCCGCATAATTCCAATTATACGGGCGTCAGGGTCGGGATCAAACCCACGACCTCCTGTATACCAGGCGAGGTTGTTAACATCTCCTCGTCACCATGGCTCCCTAAACCCAGTGACCCGAGTTTGATTCCCGCTCACGGCCAACAACATTGACAATTATCTGAAGCAATGCCCGGGCCTTCCTGAGGTCGATTCAGCCTCAAATGAGTACCTGGCGCGGTGTGTAAACATCACCGCTAGGGAGACAAAGGCGGCCAGGCGTGGTGATGGCCACCCACCCCCTCGTGTGCCGTGCCGACCTTCATAGGTGCTACTCGCTAACATCACTTGCCCCAACAGTCTGCTAAGGCTATGCGGGACATCTTTGTCTTTGGGTTTGTGGGGGGTTGCCTAGTAGAGTGACCTTGAGACGTCCTGGGCATCCGCCCGCAAGCTCTCACCTTCGGTTGCGGTGCGTCCCCAGCCGGTGACGTAGCACGGCGTGTCGGGCTGCGCCGTGCTCGCGCTCACGGGGAGGCAGACGGGCCCCACCGTGGCCGAGAAGTCGATGCTCCAGGCCAGTCGCAGCAGCGCCACATCGCTCGATTCGGCGTCCGGGTGCAGCACGATCTTGGCGATGGGCACCCTCTGGATTGCCAAGCTGGTGTCGGTCAGCGAGTTGGTGCCCATCAATGCGATGATTTCGCTCGTGTTGTTCCTGCGCGTGTGGGGGGGCGGGGGGGGGGGGGTGCAGAGGGTGCGAGTTTAACACAGAGAATCATAAACTCGCACAGAGAGCCATAGACCGTAGACTCACATAGTGACCCACAGACCCATATAGACCATCACAGAGACCCATAGACTCCGAGTGACCCTCAGACTCACACACGAGCCGACGACTGCGAGTTCCCCGTAATCCCCCCCACCCCCGTGCTACTATCCCGTTCCCCCCACTCACCAGATTTTGGTGATGCAGTGTCTGGCCGTGAGCAGCCACGTGGAGGAGATGATGGAGGCGCCGCAGAAATGTGTCGAATTCGAGTTGATCTTGTTCTGCAGGCTCACCTGCCAGGGCCACGCGCTTTTACTCTTCTCCCCGTTCACGATGCGCGTGCCCGCGTTGGGGCGCCAACCGCAACCCTTGAAGCCGCCGGAGGTGCCTGCGAGGAGAGCGAGAGAATCACGCGGCAGATGAGCCCCACTGTGGCCTTCGATCGGGACGATGACTTACGAAGCCAGGGCATGCTCCAGGAAGTTGAGACTCGAGCGGTCAAATGACGAGACCCTTCAGCGAGCCGACTTGCCGGTTGTTGTTGTTGTTGTGGTGGTGGTGGTGGTTGTTTCGGTTGTCGTGGTGCGGGAGATCCACTGGGTGAAGGCCGACACGCGTGCGTACACGCCGAGGAAGTCCCTGCTGCCGCATCCTTTGCCGAAGCTCGTGACGCCCTCGAGCACCCAGCGGCCGGGCGACGGCTCCGTGTCCCCCGCCAAGCGCACCAGCGGGCCCCCCGAGTCGCCCTGCGATGCGGACCGCAAGAGGTGGCGGAGAACGGTCAAGAGCAGAAGTCGCGTTGCGCAAAGCAGGGGCTTGAGGACACTCAGAGGTGGACACTCAGAGGTGGAGACGAGAGGGGAGAAATTCGGGGGCGATGGGGGGGCCACGTGGAAGTCACGTGATTTACGGAAGGCTGGATCTGATGATTGGTTTTTTATCCTTTTATCTGGCAACACAACTGACACCTTTTTTACAAGGAGTCATGTTTGCATAGACCACAATACCTGCAGTCATAATGCAAACAAAAAACATAACTCTGATAATGTATGCACTGTCCTTGAAGTTGATTGGTCCACACCAATCAAAGCTGTCTCGGGTGTGGACCAATCAACTTCAAGGACAGTGCATACATTATCAGAGTTATGTTTTTTGTTTGCATTATAACTGCAGGTATTGTGGTCTATGCAAACATGACTCCTTGTAAAAAAAAGGTGTCAGTTGTGTCACCAGATTAAAGGGTAAAAACCAATTATAATTTTTTTACTGGCAAATGAGGTTCCAATGGTGTAAATGTTTACCCCGAGCTCTCATACTCTGATGGTGCATTGTCTTTGAGTTGTGCGCCTATTGGCGTTATCTGGTCCAACACCATGTGAGACTAGGCTCTAAAGAAAGCTGTCTCGGGTGTGGACCAATCAACTTCAAGGACAGTGCATACATTATCAAAGTTATGTTTTTTGTTTGCATTATGACTGCAGGTATTGTGGTCTATACAAACATGACTCCTTGTAAAAAAGGTGTCAGTTTTGTTGCCAGATAAAAGGGTAAAAAACCAATCATCATATTTTTTACTGGCAAATGAGGTTCCAATGGTGTAAAGGCTGGATCTGGTTTAGAGATAAAAAAAATATGAGAGCAAGAGGGATTCAGAGCCATGGGGGGGGGGGGGGGGGGAGGCACGGCTGTCACGTGATTCACTGGAGGCTCGAGCTGATCCAGGTGAGGTGATGAGGTTTCCTGCCATGGATTCGCGACGCTCACCTGGCAGGTGTCCGCGTGGGTGTAGACGTCCGCGGCGCACATCATGCTCAGCTTGAGCGGACGGCCGCTGTTCGTCGGTTGGCAACGACTGTCGTCCATGATGGTCAACTGCACTTCGCGGAGATCCATTTGTTTGGTTGTGTCTGGAGATACGAGAGTGCAATAGACGATGCGAGTCTTAGATCATGATCATCATCATTGCTGTTATCATCGGCGTCGCCGTCACTGTCATGGATTAGTTACGCGGTAAGCGACTTCAACTCATCAGTTAAAGTCATCGCTGTAGTTATGCGGTAAGCGCACTGCACTAAAAACTATAAACTAATTTTATATTTTACCACGTAAGGCTCATTGAGCTATGCAGCTCAGGAGCGACCGAGCTATCACAAATGATAGCTCAACGAAGTGGCTCATCATGGGGACATTTATAGATGTAGCCAAAAAATCAGAACTCGTTATGTTGATTCTAAATGTGGAGGGAAACACCGGAGGACCCGGGGAAAAATCCACGTGACCACGGGAGAGAGAGACACACAAACTCCAATTATACGGGCGTCAAGGTCGGGATCAAACCCACGACCTCCTGTATACCAAGCGAGGTAGTTAACATCTCATAGCCACCGTGGCTCCCTAAACACCAGCGACCCGAGTTCGATTCCCGCTCACGGCCAACAACATTGACAATTATCTAAAGCAATTCCAGGGCCTCCCCGGGGTCGATTCAGCCTAAAATGAGTACCTGGCGCGGTGTGTAAACATCACACATGTGGCCGGGCGTGGTGATGATGTTGATGGTGGTGGTGGTGGTGATAATGGTGGTGATGATGGTGATGACGGTGATGACGGTGGTGATGATGATGGCGCCAGCCTTTATAGGTGCTACTCGCTAGCAGAACTTGCCCCAACAGTCTGCCAAGGTTATGCGGGGCATCTTTGTATTTGGGGTTGGGGGGTGGATTGCCTAGTAGAGCGACCTGGAGATGTCCTGGTCATCCGCCCGCGAGCTCTCACCGTCGGTCGCGGTGAGTCCCCAGCCGGTGACGTAGCACGGCGTGCCGGGCTGCGCCGTGCTCGCGTTCACGGGGAGGCAGACGGGCCCCACCGTGGCCGAGAAGGCGACACTCCAGGCCAGTCGCAGCAGCGCCACGTCGCTCGATTCGCCGTCCGGGTGCAGCACGATCTCGGCGACGGACACCCTCTGGATTGCCAAGCTGGTGTCGGTCAGCGAGTTGGTGCCCATCACCGCGATGATTTCGCCCGTGAGGTTCCTGCGCGCGTGTGGGGGGGGGGGGGGGGGGGGGTGCAGAGGGTGCGGGTTTAACACAGAGATCCATAAACTCGCACAGAGAGCCATAGACCTTAGACTCACATAGTGACCCACAGACCCATAGACTCACACGGAGACCCATAGACTCGCACAGAGAGCCATAGAACATAGACTCACATAGTGACCCATAGACTCGCACAGAGAGCCATAGACCATAGACTCACATAGTGGCCCATAGACTCCAAGTGAACCTCAGACTCACACACGAGCTGACGACTGCGAGTTTCCCCGCACCCCCCCCCCCCACCCCGTGCCACCATCCTGTTCCCCCCACTCACCGGACGTTGGTGATGCAGTGTCTGGCCGTGAGCAGCCATGTGGAGGAGATGATGGAGGCGCCGCAGAAATGTGTCCACTTGTCCGTCTTGAACTTGTTCTGCAGGCTCACCTGCCAGGGCCACGCGCTCTTACTCTTCTCCCCGTTCACGATGCGCGTGCCCGCTTCGGGGCGCCAACCGCAGCCCTTGAAGCCGCTGGAGGTGCCTGCGAGGAGAGCGAGAGTATCACGCGGCAGATGAGCCCCACTGCGGCCTTCGATCGGGACGATGACACCGCGAGATTTGGAGAGGATCGCAGAGCTTGGGAAATCTTTGTTGGTAGCGCCAAGGGGGTCATTGCTCATCTGCGGCTCATCCTCGCGGCCCTTCTGAAGTCCTTTCTCTCCGAAAGCGAGCGGATACCGTAGGGTGGTGGCGCATTGTTACACGTTGGCATTGTTATGAATTGTTGTTGTTGGGCGGTGGCGCATTGTTACACGTTGGCATTGTTATAAATTGTTGTTGTTGGGCGGTGGCGCATTGTTACACGTTGGCATTGTTATGAATTGTTGTTGGGCAGTGGCGCATTGTTTAAGGTTGGCATCGTTGTGAATTGTTGTTGTTACGAGCAGAGTAATGCCTCGCTCGCAGACCGGGTGCTGAGTCACATTGTGCCGTACAGGGAGAGGTATTTGAACTTTAATATTTAACCAGGTAAGGCCCCCTGAGCGATGTAGCTCTTTTTAAGAAGCGACCTGGCTGTCACAAATGATAGCTCAACGAAGTGGCTTATCATCATCATCACGTGGACATTTATAGCAGCCAGACACTCTTAAACGCGTGATGTCGATTCGAAATGTGGAGGTAAAAAACCGGAGGACCCGGAGAAAAATCTCCAAACACGGGGACGCGCACTAACTCCAAATATACAGCAGCAGGCATCAGGGTCGGGATCGAAGTCACGACCTCCTGTATACCAGGCGAGGTAGTTAACATCTCCTCGCCACCGTGGCACCCACGGTGTGTGTGTGGGGGGGGGATGCCCTTCGAGTGTCTGAGATGGGATGCGATTTAAGGAGGGCGCTTTGAGCTTCCGAAATATTTAAGCAAAGCGCCGCTATAAGTGCGAACTGTTGATTCTCATGAGTTTGAGTTTTTCCCTGGAAAAAAAACCGACTCTGTCATTTGTACCATTCTTCAAATGTCTAACCCTTCTAGAACATCACGAGAGATAATGTCGTCAATTAGCATCAGAGGAACGGTCGGAATCAATGTTGAATGGTAAGGCATCACATATAACGCGTGGATTTTGGTGTTCAAAGTTATGTGTAAAAGTGTATAAGATTATTAAATACGTAAAAGTGGTGCGCGTTTTATTGCTTAGAGAGAGGGGTGCCCTTGACAATATTTGCTTTGTATTTTGCAGCGCACCTAACTGCCGATGAGACCCAATAGGGCGAAACCAGCCTCTAGTTTAAGGAATGGTGCGCGCGCGATGAGGTTGGAAGCCGAGCGGGTGGATGCGGGAACACTTTGCGCGTTATTTGCATGCTCGGTCACAGGACAGGGTGGCGATACAATTGAATCGTTTACTTCTCTATCGACCCATCGAATGAATCAGGAATAATAACAGCACCACGTGGTGTGTTTTCCCGCGATACAAATCATCGAGATAAAGTGACGGTTATCGGCGATGATTGGATGAGAGTACAGTCACGTGTTCAATTCGCAACGTGGGTGGGGGAGGGAGGGGATAGCCGATTGGTGTTTACAGGTGGAGGTGAGAGGGGGGTAGGAGGAGAAGGGAGCGATAATGCGGATCACGGCTTCATGAACTTACTCGGAATTTTGTCGTCAGACATGTTGGCTCGCTGGGCACCTGCAGAGGGACAACAACAACCACAATATCAACAACATTGTCAACAACATCAACCACAACAACCACAATATCAACCACAATAACCACAATATAAACTACAACAACCACAATATCAACAATAACAACCACAAAATCAACCACAACAACCACAATATACTTGGTTCTTTCGGTAAAGTCACGTAGAAGGGAAATAATAAAATAATAAAAATATAAACATTATTATTATTATTCCCCTTCTACGTGACTTTACCGAAAGAACCAAGAATATAAATCCCTGCAGTCACGAAAGCTTTAAATCAAAACAACCACAATATCAACCACAATATCAACCACAACAACCACAACAACCACAATATCAACCACAACAACCACAACCAGAATATCAACAACAACCACAATATCAACATTATGGTTGTCGGGGCGGTGTCACGGCCCAGCGGCAGTGTGTTCGCCGCTTGTTGCAGATGTTACTCAACTTGTTCTTTTATTTTAGCAGGTTACGGCCCACTGAGCTATATAGCTAATTTTTGAAAGAAGCGATCTGGCTATCATAAATGATAGCTCAACGAAGTGGATTTATAGCAGCAGCCACAGACTCTAAGCGCGAGATGTTGATTTCAAACGTGGAGAGAAAAAACCAGAGGGTCCGGAAAAAAATCCACGCGACCACGCGGAGAGAGAGAGACGCAAACTCCAAATATACAGCAGCATGCGAACATTTCGCCCGCCCTTATAACCGGGACGGCCTTCTGGATTCGAACCGCTAACCACGGTTGGCTACGAGATGTTAACTACCTCGCCTGGTATACAGGAAGCTTCGATCCCGATCCTGACGCTTGCTGCTGTATATTTGGAGTTTGCGTGTCTCTCTCTCTGTCTCTCTCCCCATGGTCGGGTGGATTTTTCTCCGGGTCCTCCGGTTTTTCCGTCCACCTTTCTAAAACACGCGTGTAGAGTGTTTGGCTACTGCTATACACGTCCCGGTGAAGATGAGCCCACTTCGTTTGAGCTATGATTTGTGAAAGCCAAGTCGCTTAAACGAAACAATAGCTTTCGATTTAAAGCTTTCGTGACTGCAGGGATTCGTCTTCTTGGTTCTTTCGGTAAAGTCACGTATAATGGAAATAATAAAATAATAAAAATAAAACATAATAAAATAATTCTCACGACGTTTCGGCCACAACGCAAGCAGCCGTCCTCAGGTGAAGAACAGGTCTGTCGGGGAGACAGCGTCTTCCCGACAGACCCGACAGACCTGGTCTTTACCTGAGGACTGCTGCTTGCGTTGTGAAGATGAGCCCACTTCGTTTGAGCTATGATTTGTGAAAGCCAAGTCGCTTAAACGAAGCAATAGCTTTCGATTTAAAGCTTTCGTGACTGCAGGGATTCATCTTCTTGGTTCTTTCGGTAAAGTCACGTAGAATGGAAACAGCGTCTTCCCGACAGACCCGACAGACCTGGTCTTTACCTGAGGACGGCTGCTTGCGTTGTGGCCGAAACGTCGTGAGAATTATTTTATTATGTTTTATTTTTATTATTTTATTATTTCCATTCTACGTGACTTTACCGAAAGAACCAAGAAGAGAAAAAAAATAGCTGCCCAGCTCAGTATTAGAGGATTTTTATTTTAACAAAGTCGAGGGCCGGGCTCGTTCCGCGGGCTCACCGAACACGCCGGCGAGAACGCCTGCCGCAACCAGGAGCAGGCAGAGGGTGACGATGCAGGCCACGACGACCTGGTGAGACCCCAGCCAGGAGCACGCTCCCGCACAGGGGTTCCCCGCCTTGCCAAGCGGCTCCGACGGGCGAGTGATTGTCTCCACATCCACCTGCGTGTGTGAGTGTGTGTGTAGGGGAGCGGTGGTGCAGCGGTTAGCGCTACGAAGACGGCGACCCGAGTTCGATTCCCGCTCATGGCCAACACCGGTGGCGATTATCTGAACCGGTCCTGTGCCTCCCCTAGGTCGACTCAGCCTCAAATGAGTACCTGGTGCGATGTATAAGCATCGCCACTAGGGAGACAAAGGCGGTCGTGCGTGGTGTTGGCCAGCCTCCCCCTCGTGTGTCGTGCCGGCCTTCATAGGTACTCGCTAACAGCCCTTGCCCCAGCAGCCTGTTAAGGCTATACGGGGGATCTTTATCCGTGTCTTATGCGTCATACAGAGCCACGTACAATGAGCGAATTGCACCAGGATCCCAGAAAATGAGGTTCGACTCCTGGCCATGACGCACAACGTCAGTTGCTCATCTCCATTAGCGGGCCTCAGCCAGCGGTGGAAATTCCATATTTCCATGACGAGAACCGGCCCATCATGAATGAACACAAGTACAGCGTGCTGATAATCGTACACATGTTAATGTCGTATTGGCATTATTTATGTTATAATTATGCACATGTACAGGCCCTGTAAATTCCACTGCTGGATGAGGGCCTCTCGAAGCCCTGCCAGTAATGGGGGTTATCTGACCATACTTCACCACGCTGGTCAGCGGAGGAAACGGAGGAGGTGGAGGTCGTCGAGGGATAGAGGAGGTGGTGGTGGTGGTGGTGGAGGTTTCGTAGGAGGTGATTTGGGAGTTAAACTAAACTACTAAACTTTTCTTATTTTACCAGGTAAAGCCCACTGAGCTATGTAGCTCTTTTTCAAAAGCGACCCGGCCACAAATGATCGCTTAACGAAGTGGTTTGTCGTGTGGACATTGAAACCAGCGCATGTCGATTCTAAGCGTGGCGATAAAAACCGGAGGATCCGGAGAAAAATCCACGCGACCACGGGGAGAAAGAGAGAGAGACACGCAAACTCCAAATATACAGCAGCAGGCGTCAGGGTCTGGATCGGGATCTAACCCACGACCTCCTATATACCAGGCGAGGTAGTTAACATCTCGCCACCGTGGCATCCCTATGGAAGGGGATGTGGTAATGGAGGAGGAGGAGGTGGTGGTGGACGAGATCGAGGTGGTGGAGGAGCTGGTAATGCAAGGGGAGGACGCGGGGAAGAGATGGAAGAGGTGGAGGACGCGGGGAAGGACTCACGGTGATCATCAGCTCCGTGGAGTTGCGTCCCTGGGTTCGACCCTTGCTCTTCATGACATCCATCGTGAGAAAGAGGCGCTCGCAGATTGGGAAGTCGACAGACTTTCGTGATCTCTGCTGTCTCTCTCTCGCTCGCTCTGCGCGTCTGTTTAAATGTCTGTCTGTGTGTCGTCCCGTTGATATGTCTGGTTTAATATCTGCCTGTCTCTCTGTAAAATTGTCTATGTTGTGTAAAGGTCTGTTCGATGTCTGATGAATTTTCTAGCAGCGGTTTTATGTATATATATACCGACACAAACACGTGTCTATTTATGATAGATATTAAACGCTGTGTGTGCCGGTCTGCTAACCTGTCTCGGACTGCGTCTCTGTTTCTCTGCCTGGGCTTTATAGTTGAGTTCCAAGCCACGCCTACCTTAATGTTCCCCTCGCCCGCCCCGTCCCCCCCGCCGTCACCCCGCCCCCCGTCCCATTCATTGCCCCAGGTATCAGTGACGTGACGTAGCGCGAATTGCGACTATTTTCGGCTGCGGTTAATTTCCACGCGACGATAATTAATCGTACGTCGTGGAGCGATCATTTGTGATAGCCAGGTCAAGTTCAAGTTCATTGATTAGGTATAGCCCTGTGAGCCATTCGGCTCTTGAATCGGGTGCAACCGCAACAAACCAAAAACAAATACATGAACAAAAACAATCTTAAAGTGAATATGTGACTGAGTGCAAACAGAAAATCCAAGAAAAGACAGCAAAATATTGCAGAAAAAGCACCGTACACCAACACTGTGTGCAAAATCCCACTGGGATGCAAGTCAAACAACCAACAACAACCACAAGACAACTTAGATTAAGGCCATCAGTCTAACTCTGTAATACAACAAACAAAAATGGCCAAACCAAAAAACTTTTCGAAAATCACCAAAATAAAGCCATAAAAGCAATAAAACAGTGATCATAGGAACTGTGACCGAATTTTCACAATAAACGACGTAATTCAACATGTACTACCAAACTCTGCAGCCATAGCTGGCTGCATGAGTCACTCCACAACAGGTCGCTTCTGGGAAGGAACTAAGAAGAGCTACGTAGCCCTGTGTTGTCTTACGACGGATACAATTAAAAATAGTTAAACATTTTATTGGCTTTTCGATTTAAAGCTTTCGTGACTGCAGGGATTCATCTTCTTGGGTTTTTCGGTAAAGTCACGTAGAAGGGAAGTAATAAAATAATAAAAATAAAACATAATAAAATAAAATTATGTTTTATTTTTATTATTTTATTACTTCCATTCTACGTGACTTTACCGAAAAAACCAAGAAGATTATAATGGCTTTTCGATTCATCTCATCGTCATCAATAAGTAACCATGGGCTATCCACTGCTGGATGAAGGCTGCTGCTGCTGCTGCTGCGGGTTTCAACACAGCGAATCGTCAACGTGGCGTGCAATGGGCTCACGTGGCCAGTCCGCGAGAGGCCGCTACGTCCTCCACAACGTGGAACCCGCGCCCTGTGGCATCTCGAATCGATTGAGCGACAACGCGCGCTTGGCAGAGGAGACGGCATCTCAACACAATCGGATATGCGGAACTTCCTTGCACAAAAAGAGGGATGTTGCGGACAAAGGACCTCATTCATGGGGCGATTAGCAAGAGAGAGCGCATAAGGTCATCGTCGTCGTCGTCTATTGTATGTTGTTTTATTTTCGTGTGCAGTGTTGTGTGTGTGCGTGCGTCTGTGCCTCTGTGTGTTATTTGTGTTGGGGAGCGGTAGCGTAGCGGTTTGCGCGCTGCGCTACGAACCCGGCCACTCGAGTTCGATTCCCGTTCATGGCAAACACCGGTGACGATTATCCGGTCCTGTGCTTCCCCTCGGTCGACTCGGCCTCAAATGAGTGCCCGGTGCGGTGTGTAAAAATCATCGCCACTGGGGAGACAAAGGCGGCCGGGCGTGGTGCTGGCTCACCTACCCCCTCGTGTGCCGTGCCGGCTTTCATAGGTGCTCGCTAACAGCACTTGCCCCAAGAGTCTATTACAGGCTATACGGGGCATCTTTGTCTTGTTTGTGTTCCGTGTCTGTGTGTCTGTGTGTGCGTTATGCAATGCTTCAGCACCGCTCTCAATGCAGCAGCAGCATCACCAAATCATTTGCATCATGACCGACAAACTTGACGTTTAAATTATTCCTTCAAGAGGGGAGTGCGGAGGAGTGGGGGAGATGTTTGTTACACCTCTAATCTATATATACACACACAATACAAACACTAATTAGTTGTCTGGAAACCCCTTCATATTTAAATGACAGCATTTGGCACCGACTCCTCGCTACTGCGTGGCTGCTGCTGCCTTCCCGCTCGGCTGCGTCTCCTCCTCCCCGCGCCTCTGAGTCGTCCTCTCTCTCTCTCTGAGTCGTTCTCTCTCTATCACTGAGTCGTTCTCTTCCTGAGTCGTCCTCTCTCCGAGTCGTTCTCTTCCTGAGTCGTCCTCTCGCTCTGAGTCGTTCTCTTCCAATCACCGAGTCGTTCTCTTCCTAAGTCGTCCTCTCTCTCTATGAGTCGTTCTCTCTCTGTCACTGAGTTGTTCTCTTCCTGAGTCGTCCTCTCTCTATCACTGAGTCGTCCTCTCTCTCTGAGTCGTCCTCTCTCTCTCTCTATCACTAAGTCGTTATCTTCCTGAGTCCTCCTCTCTCTCTCTGAGTCGTTCTCTATCAATCACCGAGTCGTTCTCTTCCTGAGTCGTCCTCTCTCTTTCTGAGTCGTTCTTTCTTTATCACTGAGTCGTTTTCTCCTGAGTCGTCCTCTCTCTCTCTCGAGCCGCCCCCTCTCTCTGAGTCGTCCTCTCTCTCTGAGTCGTCCTCTCTCTGAGTCGTCCTCTCTCTCTCTCTGAGTCGTGCTCTCTCGCTACGAGCGCGTGCAGTGTTACAAGTTAAAGTTCTCATGATATTTTGACTTAAAACTGTCGTGACTGCAGGAATTCATATTCTATGGTTCTTTCGGCAAAGTCAAGTAGAGAGAGAAAAAAAAGAATAACAATAAAATTAATTAATATTATTTTTTCTACTTTATTTTCATTCTTAGTTTTAAAATTGTATTGTTATTATGTTTTTCTATCTACGTGACTTTACCGAAAGAACCACAGAATATCATGATATTATATATATATTTAATTAAGCAGATATTGTCTTAAATAATCGGATACTAAATCGCATTCATATCGTATGTCTGTCCCCACCATGATACAAACGAACAAATTATTTATCACAGCGCAATTGGCAGTGCCTGTCTGACGAAGGGGGCTCTTCACTCGAATCGTCTGGCAGTTCACGATCATTGGTTTCGAGCAGAGCCCGACTGCTGCTGCTGCTGGTGAAACACTGAATGTCAAATCCCGTCGCGAGCTTTGCCTGTGTTGAGCCAATGCTGCTGCACATGGAAATGATGCATTGCCAGAAGGCCATGTGCCTGATGGGATACAATACTTGTATACGTATTTATTTGCACGCGGAGGGACAGATATAATGAAGGGGATATTGTGTTTGCTTATTTGTCTTGTTGTGTTTTATGCCAAAACAACCACGCCGAACGGTGATGTTGTTTTGCTACATTCACCTTCCTCGCTCGCTCGCTCCTCCTCCCCGTGTTGACCGCTCCCCCCCCCACGCCACCCGTCATCCCGAGGCGATGGAGCCAACCCCAAAGAAAAATGCAGCTGGTCACGTTTACTCAAAGCTCTGGTCTCAGCAAAAACCATCTATAATGGTAGAGCGAGTGTGCCCACGGCCATACAGACGCAGCGGTTGCGGGGAAAACCAACATCACGATATTCACGCCCGTGTGTGTGTACGTGTGTGTGTGTACGTGTGTGTGTGTATACGTGTGTGTGTGTGTGTACGTGTGTGTGTGTACGTGTGTGTGTGTACGTGTGTGTGTGTACGTGTGTGTGTGTACGTGTGTGTGTGTACGTGTGTGTGTATACGTGTGTGTGTGTACGTGTGTGTGTACGTGTGTGTGTGCGTGTGCGTGTGTGTGTGCGTGTGTGTGTGTACGTGTGTGTGTGTACGTGTGCGTGTGTGTGTGCGTGTGTGTGTGTACGTGTGTGTGTGTACGTGTGTGTGTGTGTATACGTGTGTGTGTGTGTGTATACGTGTGTGTGTGTACGTGTGTGTGTACGTGTGTGTGTGTACGTGTGTGTGTATACGTGTGTGTGTATGTACGTGTGTGTTTGCGCGCGTGTGTGCGTGTGTGTGTGTGCGTGTGTGCGTGTACGTGTGTGTACGTGTATGTGTGTGTGTGTAGCTTTGTCTTTGTGTGTACGTGTGTGTGTGTGTACGTGTGTGTGTGCGTGTGTGTGAAGGTGTGTGTGTACGCGTGTGTGTGTGTGAGTGTTTGTGTTGGCACAGCAGCGGGCACCGGTGGAGCATCTGCAAATCATCTCGTTCGGTTAACCCGTGGCACTTGGGCCTGTCCCGTGCCTTCCTGTCGAGCAAGCGTCCGACACTTCACGGGGCCTCAAAGTGCACCTAGCCTGGCACAGGCGCCGTGGTGACGTCACCGCCACTTAGTGGTGACCGGAGGTGGTGGTTGTTGTTGTTGCTGATATACTAATTTAAGGCCGGAGTTGACCTTGATAATGCCCAAGACCGGTTCAGACAATTACAAGTTCTTATTACCGTATTGGTCGTGAAACCGAAATCGAACTCAGACCGTCGGGTTCGTAGCGCAGCGCGGCGCCAACCACTGCGCCACCGCTCCTCCGGCTTCCGATGCGGGGCGTGGCGCTTGGACTTGGAAGGTAAGGGTTGAATTTCGATTTAAAGCTTTCGTGACTGCAGGGATTCATCTTCTTGGTTCTTTCGGTAAAGTCACGTAGAGGGGAAGTAATAAAATAATAAAAATAAAACATAATAAAATAAAATAATTCTCACGACGTTTCGGCTACAACGCAAGCAGCCGTCTTCAGCCGTCTTCACCTGAAGACGGCTGCTTGCGTTGTAGCCGAAACGTCGTGAGAATTATTTTATTTTATTATGTTTTATTTTTATTATTTTATTACTTCCCTTCTACGTGACTTTACCGAAAGAGCCAAGAAGAGGTAAGAGTTGGTGGAGCACGCGAGACGACGACGACTGGCGGCGATTAAATAATAAAAAAACAACAACAGGCGACGTTTCGGCCAACGGCCCTTCTTCACAGCAATCGCCGTTCCACTGCCACGGAGTAGGTCCGCTCCTCGAAACGTCGCCTACTATATGTATATCAATCTTTTAAGGGACGCGGTGTTCGCGAGGAATGTTCCGAGGCGGTGTTGATGTTGGTTGTGGTTGTGCACCACCACCAACGCATTGTCACAACAC